CCTACTCGATCCTCCCTTCAGGCCTGGATGGAGATGTGTGTTGCAAAGGGCGTTTTTTTCCTCCTTTAAATTCTGGCGCGGTTTAATGCTTTTTCATCTTCAATACCTCTGATTTCTGCATTTACAGAACCCTGGGTTTGTTTTCATTCCTTCTGAAGGTGAAAAGAAGGAAAAAATTTTCCATCTTCAATATAATCCAGCAAAAGATCAGTATTGTCGGATTTCGAACAAATCGGAGACAATACAAGGTTGGGAGAATGGTGTCTGGAAGAAGGAATCAATTTTCAGAAAAGTTGAGAATGACTGGCAAATGGTTTGTACTTTTTTACTTAATTTTATTTGGTTTCAATTAATGTTTATATTATATAAGGTGTTTCATGGTGAACCCTTAAAGTCTGATTATAGTGAGGCCTAGTACTGGTATACTGTACGAAAGTGTCTAGTACTGAGTCTGTTTGAGACAAACAGTTTGAGAAGTTTTATAATATAAGTAATATAGGAAATGTTCAATAATATCAATAGCAAACACAAACAGTAAAGATTATTACTTTAATAATGAAGATCTTTTAAATTAATCTGAATGTTACCTGTTGGTGGAAATCATTAAAACCTTTTCAGAGGGTAGGCTGAACATTTATATACTTTTTTTTGCTCTTTCCTTGCTCTCGTATTAAATGTTTAAAATGAAAAATATTCGGCTATCACTATTTCCTGTTTAGGTTTATATTGCTTGTACAGAGGGTTCATCCTCAGGGAATATAAGCTGGAAATTTGACTGCGGGCCTGTCGGCTTGAAAATAAGAAGTGTTTCTTTGAGAGTAAGCAGTAAGACTTTTCACTCGGGGAAAGTGAGTTGGAGAATAAACCTGAAGCAAGAAACCATTGACGTTTTAGGAGGTATGTGTTTTACAGTTGAAGTTGAAAGAAAGAGTGGCCACAGGCTTTTTTGTCACTTTTGTTATTTTAAATTTCACCATTTCCTGAATCCTATTGTACTGTATTATATATAAACTTGTGTTGTTAAAGTAGTCCCCTGTTACTTGGACATGTCTCTCACAGGTGTTACATGTCTGCAGGTACATTGAACTTGGTTTTATTATAACGAAATGGATTGCAGCATTTGTCATAATACGTCTTTTACTTTTTTAGGGGACATTTGACATTGTATTGGCACATAGAAAGATATGGTACCCGTGTATTTGGAAAATACAGCCGAAGTGTGAGGAAATGGTCGTATTGAGTATATTGCAGTGTGCTTGTTTCATTTGTAGTCAGCTTGGTGTGACAAATTACAAAATACACTCAATGGAGATATACTGTGGGTAATTTAGAGGATATGTGCGATATTGTATATTACAATCATTAAGTAACTTGCCTCCCCTGTTGCTTAAATGGACTGTACTTTGCCATTCATGAATATTTTAAACTTGTATATTTCTTACAGAGTTTTTGTTACTGTATTTTGCTTAATGGTCTGTACTGTTATAACCACAGCCGACAAAATCATTTTATGAACTTGAGACCTTTTTCTCTTGTCCGGAGTATGTGCTTTAACATTTGTTGACATTTTTACAGTTGTTAAAAAACCTTTAAAAAGATTTGTTAAAATGTAATTATTTCAGTGCAACTGTGATCGGAAAGTGTTTACTGCCCTTCAGTTCTTGCAATAAGATTGTTTCTGTTGTGACTTGGGATTGTAACACTTAAATGTTGTTAAAAGAGTAAAAGCTAAAGTTATTCATCTCATTTTCTTTTCAGATAATACACTTCATTCATTCCCAAACTTGTCAGATACTACAGAACTTGTTTTGGAAGCTGATTTAAGTGGTGGAGAAAGCGAGACGTCGTGGCAACATGCACAGCTGTTTAGACAAAGCCTGAAAGAAGCAGAAGAAACCTCATTAGAAATCATTATTCACATGGAGGATGCTTGATATCTTCTAGTGATATGAAGCTGGAAATGGGAAAACGGATCCTTTTAAAAACCCAAATATTTTTTCTTTTATCTTTAGAAGACTTTCTTTGATACAGAACTATTTGGTATATAAACAGTCTGTTTTTGCAATAAACACTGAATCAAGCCAGCTGTTCCCCATACTTAGAAAAGCTTTCCTAGCAGGGAAAACAACTTTGGTGCTATATTTAAGGGTCACAACTTTGAAACTTTAATTTCCCAACAATAACTTTGGGGCTTACATTTGTGAAATTGTGAACTTTAACCTCTGTGAAATAATGCCCTCACATTTGTTTTTGTAATCTTAAAGCCAGTGACATTTTACAAAGAAAAAGATGAAATGATACCAAAGTAAGATGTACCTTTTTTTGCTTCTTCTTGAAAGTGCTGGAATATTCCAATGGAATATTTCTGCAACAGGTAGTTATCAACCACATCTTCACTAAGAACCCAAAACTTGCTTGGGATCCTTAAGTATCATATAACCTTTGCATTACACGTTGGAACTTTTAAATTGATGCAGGGAAATGATCACGAAAGCTTCCTTTGCTGAAATGTATTTTACATTGTACAGAAGTGTTGCGAGAGGGGGTTCGGAGAGAGAGCCAACCGTTACTGGGAAAACTTGTAGAATGAGAATGATTGAATAACTAGCACTCCGAAAGAGTGTCCAATTCCACAGAGCCTAACCCAAACAACTCCTTTCCCTCGTGTGGGAATTCACTCTCTCCGGCTGCTAATTATTCAGTCAGCCCAGGTGTGCCTCATTCTGCAGGTTTTCTCATTAACAGGTGGTTCTCTCTCAAGCCACCTTGCAAGAAAACAATGCGTTTTAAATTGTCCAACTGGGACTTTGGAGTAATATATTGCTTTCGCTTATGGAAAATAATGTCCCAGAATGTTGTTTTTATTTTTAATTATGTAGTTTTGGGGTGAATGCAAGAACAGCATGAAAGTCTTTGTTAAAGATGTCAACACATCTAGAGATGCATGAATCCTATAACAGGAAGATAAATTGATTGCAGTGTCAATAAAATGTAGATTAAACCAATAAAGAAATGGGTGAAGAACATCATTTTCCTTTTAATTTTGATGGACAGGAGCAACAAAGCAGAGTGAAAGGAAATAATTTGTTGAAAAGTATGTTTCTTTCACTTGTTATTATAGTCTTTATTTCTACGCTTAATGTCTTGTTGCAGTAAAATCTCGAGATGTGTAAGGGTAAAATAGTCATTTAGCTGTTTTTTAAACCATTTTTAATGTAAATGCATAACTGATTCCATTATATGTTGTGTATGTTATTGTGAAATTTGATGTTCTTGTATGCTTCTATTATAGCATCACAAATGTAAGTATTGACGCCCTCTTGTTTTTGACTGTTTTGTTCAAATACACTTCAAATATTAAACTGATTTTCAAAGTGTTGAACAATCGCTTATAATACTATTACTGTTTCTAGTATCTAGTATTTCGGGTGAATTTTATACCTGTAGTCTATGGAATTAAGCAATTGTGTAGAAATGATTATGTGCTTAGTTGAGTAGGCCATTACTTGTCAACAAATATGCTTTGATTACAGAAATAATATGATTACCTGAATACCACAGTGATGTGTACAGACTTTGTTTCCATTACAAAAACAAAAGTAAAATATTGAACTTGTTAAATGTCATAATTTTGATTATAAGGGGGACATAAATATAAAAGATTTTGAGGTGCAGAATCACAGAGTGCACAGTTTTTCTTTCAGGGATTACGTTTTTATTTTTCTATTTTTTCTATTATCACATGTCTCAGGATTTAACTTTTAAAAATTAAATGATTTAAACAATGTATTTACCCATTGCCATGCGACAATGTAGTTACCTTAAATCTAAAATTTGTATCCAGATGTCACCTACAGCCAGACGGTAGTTGTTGCTAAGGGTGTGTACGTCACGGGGTGCTCTTGATTTTTCCTATTGGGTGATATTCCGGCTCGGGGCGCTGTGTTCCCGGATTGGTCAACTCTTCTGGAAGGGGCTCTTTGCCGTATGTATGGTGGTGCCGGACGGAGGAAGCGGCGGTGTTATTGTTTCCGAAGGAAAAGCGAAGCGTGGAAAGAGTTAATGTTGTACAGATATTTTATGTAGACGTTGTTGAATTTCTTTCTTTTTCTACTTCATTAAAATATTCTAAAATTATTAAATTGATTTTTTATACTGTATTTATAAATGTTTTAACAAACAACAAGATTTTTTTTTTTTGGTAGGCCTCACGCAGCCTCCGTTAGTCGATTTTAACAATAACCGAGGCACACGCGCATCATCCCGGCCAACTGTTTTGGATTGCGTCCGACATTTTAAAAATTGCAAAGAGGAGACCCGTGAAAGGAAAGGGCGCGGTTTGCTGTCCGATGGGGCCGCCTTTTTAATGTTTTTATGCACCTTTTTCTAAAACAATAACTGGAGTGAATTTTTCCAAATTCAGCCAGAGTATTTTGGAAAACACAAAAGGAAGATGTCTAACGGAGGAGCAGGAAGCGGGGGTTTGACTTGGGTGGTAAGTTCGAAAAAGGACAGCTCGACAGTAGGTTTAAAATGTATTTTCACGCCTAATTGCGGTTATTGTGAAGACAGTTGCGGGTTGTAGGTCTTTGCTCCGCCGGTACAGTATTACGCTGCTTCTCGGGTGTGCGGACAGTCTAGACGGGCTTGTAACACCGTCAGACTTAATCATGACAGAAACAAAACGATCCGCTTCAGCTTGTAAGTTTATGCTCGTTTTCTTGCGTTTCCCCCGAAGAGCAAGCAGTGAAACAACGCCAAAAACCAACTTTAAAAAAAAAATACAGAAAAAGTGCTCGTAAAGTGTAAATGCTGCATGCTCTCCCAGCTGCAGTGCCGTCGGGGTGTATAGATTTCATCTAGCACCCCTAAAAAAAGTTATTAGGGGATCGCGGATCGCGTATTTATTATCCATTTCTGCGCGACACCGAAAGGCAAGAGGGCTTTTGCGCTGTCCGTAAGTTGGGGCATTTAAATTTTAAAGCGATCGTGATGATTTCATTCATCCTGTCTCGGAAAGTAGCAAGACGCAGCCTCGAAAGCGTTACTTGCCGCTGGCGAGAGAGAGGGGGGGGTAAATAATAGAGCATCTGGTTTGGAGACGCGTAATGTGCTCAAGAGGTCAGGCCGGGATTTTGGTCGGTGACCCGACACTTGTTGAAACGGGCTGCATGTGAAAGGAGACATTAGTTACCGACAAAGCACAGCGGCCCGAATGAAACTGCGGGTGGCAGACTCTAGGTACCAGATCTTTCACCTGTGAGGTGTTTGATCGCCAAGCACGTTTTTCACACTCCTGTCAGAACTTTTAACATTTTACTTTTCGCTTTCTAAGAGTAGGAAGTGGAGACATGCTCGACTAAAATATGTTGGCAGAAGTCGATTATGGGTGGAATAGTGAGAACTGTAAATTTTAAGTGACGCGATATGTATTGCAGTTCATTTTACAGCATTTTTAAGACCTAACTAAATACTTTTTCGACAGCTGTTTGGGGCATTATTTAATATAAAGGCTTGAGGTCCGAGGGTATGTTTTTGGCCTAATTGGGGGGACGAGGACATGAAAATGTCAACATAATTTGAATTTATGTACATTTAGCTTCAGAGTTAATGCTACCCCCTCTAAAATTTGATTAAGTCTATTCAGGTAATGTCCTTGCAAGTCAAGAGTCTTATTATGTTCCAGGAAGTCAGTGAATATTATACTGTACTGTCTTTTTCTCTGTACTCTTCCCTAATAGAAAGTCAAACCTACTAGAGAGAAAAAGACCTTTGACATTTTAAACAGCATATATAGTTAAGAATGCATATTTTTTGTTCATTTACTTTTTTCACATGACTCATTAATTTTAACATTCTTTTACCTATGTATGAAACGGTTCACATAAGGCAATGATTGATCTTCTCTGTTTACCCAAAGCAAGGATATATAATTACCATATAATTTTCTAAGATTTAATACTTTCCTAATCATTTTGCTAACAACTTTTTTTTCTAAAACAAAAAAAAATGGCATCACTTTTACATATAAGATCAGCAAATTGTTATGCTCTAAAGAGAATCATCTTTCTATACTTTACCTTGTTAGAGTGCAGCAATATTTTTTTTAGTCATTTGATTAGATGCCACACCAACACTGAGTTGGTGCACCTACATGTTGCCTATAGAAAGTCTACATACCCTTTCCAAAGTAACACATTCTGTGACCTAAAACCCTGGAATCAAGACCCATTAAATCTGTTTTACCTTTATGTACGTATTATAACACACATCCTCTGAATGAAACACAAATGCTCCAACATTCTGAAAAATAATGAGAAATTAAGCCCTGTAATAAATGGGATGGATAAGTATACACATCCTTGAGTAATGGCAGTTGTCAGGTAGCTCTGGTGTAACAAATTGCCTTCTAAATCAAACTACCAAGCTAATTATCCTCCACAAGTATTCAGTTGTAGTGATTGTGATGATTTCAGAAATCTGCTGTTCCTGTTGTTTTCCCCTGCTGGGTGGTGCATCTCAAAGAAAAAAAAGTCAACTGTGGACAAGCAGCAATCAGAAGACAAGTTTCAAAAGGGCTTAAATATCCTGTGGAACACAATCAGGACTGTCAGTAAGAAGTGGGAGGCGGATGGCACCCCCAAGACCAGGACCTTGCCTTGATTGGGTTGTTCGTCCAGAATAGATGACTGAGCAAAGTCATCAGGGATCTGACTGGGGAGGCCACCAAGAATCCAGTGGCAACTTTGAAGAACTTGCAGGCCTTCATGTTAAAGACTAGTCATTGTGTACATATCACAACAGTATGAAAGGGTGGCAAGAAGAAAACTGCTATTCAGAAAAGCCCCCATTGAGACATTTCGTTAGAGGTATGCAAAACAGCACTGTGGAGATTCTAAAGCCATGTGGCAAAAACGTTTTGTGGTTTGATAATACCAGGATAGAACTTTTTGGTCACAATGGAAAATGTTAAATTTGGTAAAAACATTTAGATATCCTAAGTGCATCACCCACAGAACCCCATCCCTACTATAAAGCACGTTGGAGACAGTATTCTTTTATGGGGATATTTCTCTGCAGCAGGAACTGGAGCACTGGTCAGGATTGAAGAGAGACATGAAGTAGCAAAATACAAATGGGTTCTTGAAGATAACCTGCTGCCCTGTGCAATGAAGCTAAAATTGGGAGGGAAATTTCCTTTTCCAAGTGACAAGAACCATAAGCACACATTCAAAACAACAGTGGATTTACTCAAGAACTAAAAGGTATAAGTCCTTGAGGGGCCTAGTCAGAGCCCTGACCTCCATTCAGTGAAAAAACCTGTGTAATGACTTGAAGGTTGAACAGTTCTTTTAAGGTGGAGTGGGCAGACATTGCCAAATGTAGGTGTACTACCTTGGTACAGACCTAACCAAACAGAATTATGATTGTAATTCAAGTAAAAGTTGCTTTCACCAAGGACTACTGAGGGGTGTGTACCCTTTTCCAACCCATTTTTCTGTCTTTCCATGGCTAATTCCTTTTCAGAATGTTTGAACATTTGATATTCACTTGAAAGTTGTATGTTACGATGTGTAAATAAAATTAAAATAACTTTTATTTTGTTCATTTCCTGCTGTTGGGTCACGAAATGTGCTACTTTGGAAAGGGTGTGTAGACTTTCTATATGTATATGCAACGTACTCAATGTGGTAATTAATCAAAAGACTTAAAATTATATTGTGTGTATTAATATTTATGCTCTATATAGATATATGTACGTATGTGCATATCTATTAAGCACAATATAAAGCTTTGAAAGGGGACAAGAATATTAATTTATGTATTTGACACTCAACTCTTATATTTTCCAGATTTCTTGGGGACATTGATTGAGAATTAGGCTTAATTGTATATTAGAAGTAGAAGCAAGGTATATGGGAGAGTTATTCAGTAGGCTGTTTGGGAAAATGTTCCCATTCTCTTTAAAAGTTATCAGGTTTTATGACTGAACAGCACATAGTGCTATAATAGTGTGCCTTATGCAGTCTCCAAATTATACATTCAGTGCTCAAAAGAATGATAGCTTTGTTTTACCAAGCGTCTTTTCATGAATAAAACAGTCGAAAGCACAATATAGATTTAATACAAAATGTAATGAGCTGTAAGATGCTAAGAGGATAGAAATGTCTATGGGAATGAATTCTCTAAAATTGGATCTGATCTATTGTGTTGCAACTATTGCCACTTCAGAAAGGTGTACATTATTGAAACAGCAAAATGTGGAGTTTTGGTTTAGAAGAATATTATAAGGAATGCTCAAATTATAGTACCCTGATTTTGGAGCTGATAAGCATTGCTAGTCATTCAGTTTCTTATCTATTTTCAGTTTTTGTCAGATATTTTATAAAGAATGTCCTCAGCCAATAAACACGGCTCAAATAGTAATTGCAGTTGCTTTCTAAAAATGTCCCTTACTTGGATGTTAGCCACCTTAACCACTTCCATCCATGTTTTGTTTCTAACAATATTGTATTTAAGCACTCTAGATCTATCTTAAATATTTTTTAACATGGTTTCAGATCCGGAGAGCAAAAGCAAGATATGATATTTTTGGTCCCTTCGAACTTTTGTTACCTTAACATTGTTCAAATTTCATTGAGGTGGCTGGAAGTGGATGAAGGTTATTTCTTGTTTCTTGCTCACTGCAAGCCATGGCTTTCTCCTGTAGTGTTCATTGGAACCAGGTAACCAGCTAGCATGGCACAAACTGGTGAAACAAAAATCACACAAGGGACTTGTTAGTAGAAATATACTATATAGTAGAAATATATAAAGAAATGAGATTTCTTTATATGCTTAATTCTGTATATGCTTATCTTTGTAGTATCTGTTTTGCTAAAAAAAGTTCATACACTTTTAGTACACAAACTGCACTTAGCCTTGCTGAAACTCTGAAATTGCAGTAATATAAGGACAGATACACTTATGTTAGTGCAGTTACACTTCTCTTGCTCTTTATAACCTTTTACTTTCAAGTGCTGCTTGTTTTTATAAACCCTCTCCCACCCCCTCCACCACCCCAATTCCAAACTAAATCGTGTACTGCCTGAACCTTTTTAAACTTTTATGTAATGTAGTATAAAACTGAAAAGTGAGCAAAACAGAAATTAGATTTGAACACCATTAAAATATGTGGACCTCCTTAATGGTCAGTTTTTTTGGGGTGCAAACTTGGGATGCTGTGAGGCACCACACCATTTTACAGATGTGATTAGGATGTCAGAAAGAGACGAACTTCCCATCTGCATGAAATCCTCATTTGGAAAAGAATACTGTGAGACTTGTTTAGCAGGGTACTTTTTTTTATCGACACATTCCTTGATGCGCATGGACACCCAAAACTTTCAGGAATTCGGGGAATGCCTCATGGTGGTAAAATTAAAATGGTGCAAAGTCAGTATCATCATGTGTTCTCAGTCTTTACAAATGCCTGTTAACAGACCCTCTTTGACAAGAACAATGCTGCCAAAAAGGAAGAAGCAAATGCCAAGAATGATGGTGCCAAGAATGAGGTTTCCAAGAAGGAGAGCTCCAAGAAGATGTCAGTGGAGCGTGTTTATCAGAAGAAAACCCAGCTGGAGCACATCCTACTCCGTCCAGATACTTACATAGGTTCTGTGGAACCTGTAACCCAGGTTAGTCTGATTATATTGTAACGTGGATGTGGCTGAAGTCTCTGTTGAGACATTGATGTGGAAAAAACAGATTTATCACACGACCACGATAATGTTTAGTATTTTCATCTTGTGTATTTGATGTAGTCCAGTAGCTCATAAGGAAATCTTTTGTATTCCGTTTGCAAACTGAGACCACACATGCAGCACTTCATAGCATAGTGTTGTTAACTTAATGACTAGTAGATAAGGTCTGGAGTTGTTAAAGTATTTGTTAAGGTTAATTCCTCAGTGCTCACGGAGTTTTTGGAGTATTGACATATCTAAGTTTGTTTATTGTGATTTCTGCATTAGTTGGATTTCATTTATTTTCCTTCATTCATTACATCATATTTTTGTGGCAGTATCTTGATTAGATATTTACATTAGAAATGTATTTATTTGATTAAAAAAGATTGATTTCCATGTTTCGGTGAATTCCTTTTTTTTTTTTAGCAAATGTGGGTGTTTGATGAGGAGACTGGAATGAATTTAAGAGAAATAACATATGTCCCAGGCTTGTACAAAATTTTTGATGAAATTCTTGGTAAGTTTTTTTTAAAGAACACTTTAACCTTATTTAGTTATGCTGGGCCCTTTCCAAGAGGCGTTTAGAAACATGTTTTTTACTTTTAAGAGGGTTAAAACTTCAGCACAATAATATTTCTGTCAGGTGAACTGATATATTAAAATGTATGTGTGATAATAAGTATGTGGATAATAATTTTGAATTAGCATTCAGAATATTTTTGGTGCTGTATATCTTCCATATTGTTTTCTACATCTTAATACTGTAATAAAAATTGTATGCATATTCTCCTCACAGTTACACTTCATAGTAAAATATTAATTTAAAATAGCTTGCATATAATTATATGACGCCTTGAAATATGTGTTGGAGTTACACGTTTTAATTATAATACAGAAATATACCAGAGAGGATGCTTTATCATTTGTTCAGAAGTTTTTGGGTTGACGCATGCTAACTGCAGAATGTGGGAATTCTGCCTGCCTAGCTAACTGCGGCATCTGTACAAACATTTTAATTTTTAGAAGAATATTATGTGATCAATCAGGAACACCCTTAGTGTCTCAGAATCCTAAGTGTATACCAGTGAGTTCCATGCAGTTATAAAATGGTGCAGGAGAAAAGTGATGTTAGACATTAAATAAAGATTTTTTCTTAAACTTTTGCAGTTCAGTTTTAGGCATCATCCACTTCATTGCAATAGAAATCAGTGCATAGGCGTACATTCTTGGTATGTGAAATAATCACCTTTAGCATAAAAAGAAAATTACCAAGCACAATAACAAGTTAGTAATTAAGAAATAAAAGAAAGTGAAAGAAAAACATAAAATATGAAACTCACTTTTTTTCATGTATTGGAGACAATTTGAATGTTTTGTGGAACTGAAAGTCTTATCTGTTTTTCTCTCCAAACCATTTTTTCTTGTAACTTTTTTCTTTTAGTCAATGCTGCTGACAATAAACAGAGGGATAAGAACATGTCTTGTATTAAAATAACCATTGACCCGTAAGTTTATTTTTTCTTACGTTTACAATTACTTTGCTCATAATTTGCAGAGGATTGGAAAATATACTTCTAGTATCTCAATCACTGGAGTTAGCAAGATTTTCTCCCAATTTATTCTGCAATTAACTGTTATTTAATAATGTTTTCTCATTGGAATTTACTAAGAGCTGGTTCCTACAATCAACAGTATGTAGTAATGATTAGAAGTTTAAACTTTTAAAGTTGAGATCCCAGTTGGTGCACTGCTGTTGACTGATTGAGGAAGGTATGTCACATAGATTGCTTCAGTTAATATACCCATCTGTTTAAATGGGAGCAAATGTAAGTCACTTTGTATAAAAGCACAAGACAAATAGCAATTTGTAATTGTTGGGTGCCCTATTAGGTTAAAAATAGGATGAGAGAGAAAGTCTTATTATAATTAAAAGGTGTCAGTGTTATTTATTATGAGGCTGTTAGTGTGTTCAAAGTTCTAAGTGAAGCCCTTTGTATGTTGTTTCACATTTAATGTGTAGTGATAGAATTTAATTTATGTACTTTTTTAAAGCAATGGGAAAACTCAAGGGAAATGAATAGGATTAACAGAAAATGATGAGGCAGGTAATGCAAAGCTCATGGCTCTTCTTCAATGTAGGATGTGATTTTAAGATGCTGCAGGAGTTGCCAATAAATACTTCCTATGTGATGGTTTTAGAAGTAACTCCTTTTTTTTCTTCATTGCTTATGCTTTCTCTTCTTGGTAACTAGGCTCAATGTAATGTATAACCTTGGTGTGTATTGGTGTGCATCGTTTTTCAGGGAAGCAAATCTCATCAGCATATGGAACAATGGCAAGGGAATTCCAGTGGTGGAGCACAAAGATGAGAAAATGTATGTTCCAGCTTTAATCTTTGGGCAGCTCTTAACATCAAGTAATTATGATGATGAGGAGAAGAAAGTTACAGGTAAGCAGACCTTAAGATTTTTTTTTTACCTTGCGCCTGTAGAAATATGGGGATTTCTGTGGAATTAAATATTGTTTCCTCTTTTCAGGTGGTAGGAATGGTTATGGTGCTAAACTCTGCAATATTTTCAGCACAAAATTCACAGTTGAAACTGCATGCAAGGAATACAAACACAGCTTCAAACAGGTAAACGTTATGGACTAAAGTGTTGGCACAGATATTGTTCCCTGCATAATTGTTTTCTTTGCATTTCAGAATTTGTACAAAACTATTTTAAAATTGAATTCATCATGCTGGTGTGCATTTAAACAGAAGAGTCACTTGTCTGAAGTTATTTAAAATTTCACAAAGAAGGGTTCCTGTGCTCCACATCCTAGGTCCCATGAGTTTCGATTTCCGACTTGTTTAGAACATTCTATTTCTGTAATTTAACATGTTGTGAAAGTACTTAAGTTGTGATTATTAGAAAATTCATTTGTTGTTAATAACATTTAAGTCTTTAAAACTTTTAATGATAACTTGTGGTCCAACACTTTTCTTACCTTTAGTTTATAATATCATACACATTGCTACATTAAACTAGTGTCTACAAAACAAGCATGATTATTTGCATGATAGAAGAATGTGGGCGCTTACATTTTATATAATACATGTTACTGCCAGCATGACCCATTCTTTTTGTAGGTTTTTTTAGCACTTGCAAATGGAAGCCTGCTTGATCATTTTTTAAATATGCAATGTTTTTTTCTGTTTTCTCTGTTGACAGAAAAATATTTAAATTAGTTTACATTTGTTTAGATTACATTAGTGGGTTTCTAGAATTACGTAAATCTCTCAAGTTACGTTAAAGTGTTAAGTCCACAATTTCTTTAAATATTTGCTGTTAGAAAACTGTAATCAATTGGATTTCAATGTGTTTTTGCAGACTTGGATGAACAACATGACAAAAACAAGTGACCCCAAAATTAAATACTTTGATGGGGAAGATTTCACGTGCATAACATTCCAGCCAGACTTGGCAAAATTCAAAATGGAAAAGCTGGACAAGGACATTGTTGCCCTTCTTACAAGGAGGGCTTATGATGTTGCTGGGTCATGCAAAGGGGTCAAAGTCATGCTTAATGGAAAGAAACTGCCAGTGAGTTAACCTTCAAATTGTCTCCAGTACCAATAATTATGTTTCCCAGGCCTTGTTACGTAAAATTTACTTCTAAAAAAATGCTTTAAAGACTTTTATTATAGCTTATTACGTAATTAATCTAACTTGCAGTCACTATGCCTAAAGTGTGTAACAGAATTGATGCATCTGAAATATTTTTTTAATGCTTATAAGCAAGATTTATTCCATCGGTTCTCGTCCAAGGTTTTACTTGCCATGTGAAAGTGTCTAGAGTCATATAATTTACTGAAGCAGCTTGGCATGTATTCTGATTTACTGTCCATTTATTGTTCTTTTCAGGTTAATGGATTCCGCAGCTACGTAGATCTATACGTAAAGGACAAGCTGGATGAAACTGGTGTTGCACTGAAGGTTGTTAATGAGACTGTGAATGACAGATGGGAAGTTTGTCTCACAATGAGTGAGAAAGGCTTTCAGCAGATCAGCTTTGTGAATAGTATTGCCACTACAAAGGTAAGTACAATTGATGTGTGCCAGATCTGTTTTTCAAAATGGACATTTTTAAACATACACCTGACCAGATATATACAGCACATCCCTTTCCAAGATTCACTCTGTATGGTTTTTAACATTTATTTTTTAAACCTTCTTTTTTTTAGGGTGGCAGACACATTGATTATGTGGTTGATCAGATAGTTAGTAAGCTGATTGAAGTGGTGAAAAAGAAGAACAAAGCAGGAGTTTCTGTGAAACCTTTTCAGGTTTGCTGCCTCTTATTTGTCATTTGTAAGATTTAAGAAACATTTATAGGCTTTATGTTTACGATGTTGGTAGTATAAATACAAAATCCTGTTTAAACTTCTAAGCTAGTTAATTTGTTTCTTTTATGTCTTACCTCTTTTTGCTGTCTTTTGAATTTCTCATATTGCATATTTTAATCAGTTTGTAATCTTTCTCAGGTTAAGAATCATATCTGGGTTTTTGTTAATTGCCTAATTGAGAACCCAACCTTTGATTCCCAAACAAAGGAAAACATGACACTCCAAACTAAAAGCTTTGGATCCAAATGTGTGTTTTCAGAGAAATTCATTAGAGGGGTAAGTGACTGTCCTGTGTAATTATCCCTATATAAAAAATAATAAACAAAACAACCTAACTTGTAATTTTAACTTTTTAGGCCACTAATTGTGGTGTTGTGGAAAGCATACTCAATTGGGTAAAATTCAAGGCTCAGACACAACTGAACAAAAAATGTTCATCGGTGAAGTACAGCAAAATTAAGGGCATTCCAAAGCTGGACGATGCCAATGATGCTGGTAAGGTTTTAATGTCACTTATTTCATGGCTTTTGGTGTACTTATGCCTGCCTACTGAGACTTACTGAGTTACAGTGAAACTTATGGTGTGTGCAAAAGCTTTGGAAATTGAATTTTAAAACTAAACTGACCACATTGAGCTTTTGGGACAGTGACACTTAAAACATCATTCACACCACACAAGTTTGACCTAAAGGGTTTTTTTTTTTGTACTGCTTTTGTGCGTGCACTGCTTTTTCACTGAAAGTATTAAATGCAATGTCAGCACATACTTTATTTGAATATATTTTACAGGTGGTAAACATTCCTCTGAGTGCACACTCATTTTGACTGAAGGGGATTCTGCCAAATCTTTGGCAGTATCAGGTCTTGGTGTCATTGGTCGTGATCGATATGGAGTCTTTCCACTTAGAGGTAAAATCCTCAATGTGCGAGAAGCATCGCACAAACAGGTATGCTTCTAATTTAACTAATGCTTCCTTATTTAGCCATACTATTCATAGCTTATTTTTTTCACCAATTACTTGATAAGGACTGGAAGAGTGCTCCCCTTGTGATCGTATGGTTTGTGATTTTCTTCACATCCCATCAATGCTAGTATCTGTTTGTAAAGATAAGTGGACTACAGCAGTTCTAGAGACTAGTTTGTTTGACTAGTTCCTCCCCACTGATAGCTGGTGTGTGGTGAGCGTTCTGGCGCACTATGGCTGCCGTCGCATCATCCAGGTGGGGCTGCACATTGGTGGTGGTTGAAGGGAGTCCCCATTACCTGTAAAGCGCTTTGAGTGGAGTGTCCAGAAAAGCGCTATATAAGTGTAAGCTATTATTATTATCATTATTATTATTATTAACGGTATACCATAAGTGTTTGCAATAGGGGCTTGGAACCTCTGGCCCTCTGAATCCAGAGCCCTAAAAGCCAATCCACTCTGTCTGCTCTTAAAATGCTTTGTTTTCCCTTGTTTCTGTTAACCCAGGACAACCACGGATTTAATTACTGAAGGCCACACAGAGCCATCCATTTATCAAATATTTAAAAAATCATTTAGAATGTATTTTTATTAAATCGATAAGATTTTCTTATTGATAAATACCAATAAAGCCCTTTTCATTTTCAAAAAAACATGTTCTTTATCCCTACAGAAGTGCTCTCTCTCTTTTTGAAAGGATTGCAAAAACAGAATACCATTTACCTGTCTCAGTGACCCTGAGTTTTGAGCTTGGGTCATGTCAGGATCTTCCAAACAGCAGCACAGACTGTAGCTGGCTTCACATAGGAAAGGGTTGGGATTATTGTCAGCTGAGGCTTTTTTTCTTTTCCTGCCAATCAAGGACTAGTGAGGTTTTCCACGCACCCACAGATGGCAAAACACTTCTCCAATTGATGCTGAAATTCCTGTACATAACTGCAGGGCTAGCAGTGTGTCAGACATGAATGATTAGATAACAGAACAGATCATGTCAGCCCATACTCTTTCTGACATAACATAAGGTCATTACATAGAGAAGAGACATAAAGACACAACTGGTGATTCCAGATTGGGTGGGCATGTAATAAAAAAATAATACATGATTCTAAACTAATTTAAAAAAAAACAGTTTTTACTAACTGCTGTAGATAGTAGCTCACCTAAAATTGTATTAATGAAATAGAAGTGAAGAATCAAAACATTTCACTGAAAATTAGTCATAAATATATCTGGGTACTAATTATTTCTTTTTTTCCACCAATTAAGATTATGGAAAATGCGGAAATCAACAACATCATCAAAATAGTTGGGCTGCAGTACAAGAAAAGCTATGATGACGCTGAGTCTCTTAGATCTCTTCGCTATGGAAAGATTATGATAATGACTGACCAGGTGAGACTGCTGTTTTTTTATTGAGCGCTTGTTTATATCTTGGAAGTATTACATCTTAAAGTTTCTTTCTACACAACTGCTTATATTCTTTTTAATCCAATCTTAGGATCAGGATGGGTCCCACATTAAAGGTTTACTTATCAACTTTTTTCATCACAACTGGCCATCTCTTTTAAGGCACAGCTTCCTGGAAGAGTTCATCACTCCTATTGTAAAGGTAAGGTGCTTTGGAATTCACCTATAACAGTAAAGTAACATTGGAGTAAATAATTTTACCTGCTTTGAATGAGAAGTTTTTGTCATCGTATTGTTAAAGATCAGCACGACTCCTCTCTTGTCTTCCATAGACTTTTTCTTTATGTTTAGTATTTAGTGTGCAATTTCAGTGTTTATTTTTCAGGCACTTGATGTCCCGTTAAATTAACCTTTGGCTGATTTTGCCTACTGGTTAAAAACTGTTTTGCCTCTTCACTGTCTCCAGCACAATTTATAACTCACGTAGGATTTTTTTAATTAATCAGTTTATGCAATTGATGGTATTTGTGATTATCTGATCACTAATCACAGAGCTGGATTAAGTCACAATTCTGTTTTACAGATTGCCAATAAATATGTTGTGGTTGTATGATTGTTTTAGTTAATTTTTGAAACATACATATACAGTACTGTTTTCAACAGAATGGAGCTGCATACTAAGCTAATATGACAGCTATAACAACTACATTATTTCAAATAATATATTAATGATGCTAAAAAAATTCCCATAGTCAGAGGGCAATGAAGAAGCTAATGGCTGCAGTCTGGCTTGCCATCTATGTTTTGCTGACTTTTGTCAATGTGTCATGTCACAAATACCATCAATTGCATAAACTGATTAATTAAAAAAATCCTACGTGAGTTATAATTGAAATATCAAAACTATATTAAGATGTACCTTTTGCAAATGTTGTATCTTTTTTCAGGCTAGCAAGAACAAACAAGAATTGTCATTTTACAGTATACCAGAGTTTGATGAATGGAAGAAGCAAACTGAAAACTTCAAAACCTGGCACATAAAGTACTACAAAGGTGTGTTATCGGTTTAATTTCAGAGATTGATGTAATGATTGTTGTGCTTAGAATGGGAAACCCATTTTGTAGTCCATTTTCTTATATACATCCACTTTTATAGTTACCTACGTATACATACCTTTGTTTTGATTACTTATTACAGGTTTAGGTACCAGTACAAGCAAAGAGGCAAAAGAGTATTTTGCTGATATGGAGAGACACAGAATCATGTTTAAATATGCTGGTTCAGAAGATGATGCTGCCATTACTCTGGTATGTAAATGTCTTTTGTTTTGTTGCTTTTACAGTATATGACTATCATGGCTTATGTATTCAGCCTTTTTGAGTATTTGTACTTAATTAATCTAAGTATCATAGTTTTAAATATAATGTTTTCGGAGAAACACAATCTTTTAGGCTTGATTTTGAAGTTTTACTTTTTATATGGCTTGGAGGGAAATTAAAAACTCCCCAAAAATGAATCAGGGTGGGAATGTGCTGAATTTTGCAGCTCCGTGTTGCAAATGACATCGGTGATCATTCACTGATCTAATATAATTGCTATCAGTTTAATCATTGTACATTTGCAGGTATTGAATTTGTATTATGCCATGAAAATATACAGTAATATTTCACATGATCAGGTCATAAGCATAAAATATCCTTTTGAATGCTGCCATATTAATAAAACTGCTACTGAAAAGTGCTACTGTTCTTAATTGGTGATAGGCCTTCAGTAAAAAGAAAACTGATGACAGAAAAGAATGGCTGACAAACTTCATGGAAGACAGGCGACAACGAAGAATGCATGGCTTACCAGAGGTCAGAGAGAAAAGTTGGAACTGAAATTTAAAACCACAGTGATGCTCATTTTTTATTTTTTGTATACTTTTGGAAATATTTAGAGGAAAGATTCTACATTAATGTGATTTTGTAAAGATCATGACATGGATATGCGCAAAGTGACAGTGTTGTAGAACTCTTTAATGTGTACATGCCCTTTCATTTCCGTCTGTGTAGCACAGTGTGTTTTCAGAATTATGTTTTTTTTGCCTGATGGTGAGGGTACATTTACAGTAACATATTTTTACAAACTGAAGGAAAGTACTTTCTGTGTTCTTGTAGCAATACCTTTATGGCACACAAACAAAGCAGCTGACCTACAATGACTTCATTAACAAGGAGCTGATACTTTTTTCAAACTCGGATAATGAAAGATCCATTCCATCTCTTGTTGATGGTAAGTTGGATGTTTTTGTGTCTTTCAGAATACAATTAAAAGCTTAATAATATTTCCTTTAATAATTGAAATAAGGTTAATGATTGCAGTATTAAAAAGCGATATTGCTGCTTTGAGTCTGTCGGTGCCTGTGTTGAAAATATTTTACATTAGAGATTTTACTTATTTAAAACATAAGAGTAAAATCTAAAAGAAGATTAATTTATCCTGAATTAATTTTAAAATAATGCATTTCAAAGGATTGAAGCCTGGTCAGAGGAAGGTCCTTTTCACCTGCTTGAAGAGAAATGACAAACGAGAGGTCAAGGTTGCTCAGCTGGCTGGATCTGTGGCTGAAATGTCTGCATATCACCATGGTGAGGTGAGTATAACTTTGAGCTGTCATTTCCTGGTACAGATAAAATCTTTAAAGATTTAGTGAACTCATAACTTCTATTTATTTTTTAATCTAGCAAGCATTGATGATGACCATTGTGAACTTGGCTCAGAACTTTGTGGGAAGCAACAACATCAACATTCTCCAACCACTTGGCCAGTTTGGTACCAGAATTAATGGAGGAAAGGATGCTGCCAGTCCCCGTTACATCTTCACACTGCTCAGGTGACCTGATATCTTCAGAGCTTGGTGTTTAGCATTATGTTAGTCAGACTGAACGATCTCTGGATTTTGTACTTTAAAGTGCTAAACAAAACAAATTCTAGTAAGTATGAGTTAATTTCATAATTAACTATGAATTAATTTCATTCTTTGAAACAGAATAATTGTTTTCTGTGCTGTGTTTTGTAAGAAGATGGATATTTCTTAAGCAGAAAGAAGAAGTAGGGGTTCATTCCGTAGTTTAAAGTACAAGAAAGTGAAGTGCACAGTGTAGTTATAGGATCTTCATGATGTATGCAGAGGAGAGCGGGAGTGCAGAAATATAAGGCAAAAGGGTGGGCTGGCGAAATAAAGGTGACAATGACTAAAAAATTGGCACAGTGTTGAGTAGAGTGTATTTAGTATATAGATGCAATAAGGCCCAAGGAGCTGGTTTTAAGGCACTAAAGCTGTCACGAGTTACTGCAGTTTAACTCTAGTGATTGTGTGGGCTACGCTTGTTCTTTCCACACAAAAATCATTTACACTATTCCTATGGCTAGTCTGACATAGGGATCTAAAATAAGTGCTTTTAAAAGCAGATGACTTTCCATATAAATGAATGTTTTGTATGTATGTTTTTTATGTATGTATGTTTTTTATGTAGTCCTTTGGCAAAGATGCTGTTTCCAGCAGTGGATTCCAATTTGCTGAAGTTCCTGTATGATGATAACCAAAAGGTTGAGCCGGAGTGGTACATTCCTATTATTCCACTGGTTCTTGTAAATGGAGCAGAAGGTATTGGAACAGGATGGGCTTGTAAAATTCCAAACTATGACCCAAGAGAGATTGTGAACAACATTAATCGAATGCTTGATAACCAGGATCCACTGCCCATGGTAATTTTTTTTTTCTTCTAACAATAGCCATTAATGTTTCCTCTATAAGAAGAAACAGTATTTACAGACAGCATTAAGAAAAATAAATAAAGTCGTCTATAGTAGTGAATATTTTAGAACGCAGTATAAGCTTTTCATCATTCTACCATCTTAGAGATTTACATTGATATGCATATTAGATTACCCTTATTTGTATTATTTTGACTTGTGTTTGTCTTCACAACATAATTTCTTTATAGTGATTACAAAAGATGTTAATCTATCATTTTATTGTGCCCTGCATAGCTTCCTAGTTACAAAAACTTCAAAGGTACCATCCACGAGCTGGGTCAGAATCAGTACCTTGTCAGTGGGGAGGTCTCTGTCCTGGACAAAAACACAATAGAGATCACAGAGCTTCCAGTCAGGACATGGACACAGGCAAGTTTACTCTCTCCACTCTCTGGCCTGTTGGGTGCCTGTATTGTATTAAATCTAAATATAGACATTTTGGTGGAAAAAACATTAGACTGCTCAAACAAGACTATACGTAAATATAACTGAAGGAACCTCATTCTTTCCAACAGGACTGCTGAAACAATTATATCTATATTTCACTGTATTTTTTATGAAATTGTTATTTTCTTGCATATTTATGAATAAATTATAAACAAGTGGAGTCTGGAACTTTGTCACTAATATCTGTTCCTCAAAAAGGAAAAGGAAAACTGTTATTTTAATTTTAATATTGTCTCACCTTTAAATAACCATTCTGTACCATCTTGGTACATTAATTCTAGTATAATGTAAATTGTTGGTTAATTAAAACTTTTATGAAGGCAACCTTTTTTCCTGTGTACCCTTATAATTGTATAAAATTCAACTTCTGCAGAGTTATAACATATATCCATATTAAAGCACTGCTTCTCTTTTTAGACATATCTTTGAAGAATAAAAACCTGTATTCCATTTTGGTTTAAATTAATAGAAATTGACTTTGTTTTGATATACAGATCAAATAAACCTTTCCAAACAAAATCTAGTCATTTCATCATAATCTCTGTTTTTCTTATAGTTGTGTGTTGTTTGTTTTCTTTAGGCTTACAAAGAGCAAGTTCTTGAGCCCATGCTTACAGGAACAGAGAAAACACCTGCTTTGATAACAGACTATAAGGAGTATCACACTGATACAACAGTGAAGTTTGTAGTAAGAATGACAGAGGAAAAGCTGGCACAAGCAGAAGCAGCTGGACTACATAAGGTCTTCAAGTTACAGTCAAGTCTGACTTGCAACTCCATGGTAAATATTATGTGCTATTGGTCAAAACAGGCTTCAGCTCCTTGGTAGGAAAATTGTTCTAATCTATTTGCATTTCCAAACTGATGTTTTTAACAGTGAAGATTTCCTTTGATTGGGTGTTATTACTTGGACATATCTCGAAGCTGCAAAAATGGAAGGTCCCTTTACAAATGAGACAAGATAATGACAATGTGTGTACAACATTTGGTTCCTAACAGCCAATTAATCCATGGATCTTGTCTAGCCTTTTGGTTTAGGGAGGTATGAGTTTTGACGACATGGCTAGTTGCCTTGTTCTATACGCCTACATACCTTTGTGTGAAAATGAATTTACTTCCCTTTTAGGTTCCGCATGTTTCACTGTTACATTTGAAGTCTGCTTAAAAGTTTCTTTGCTTTTTCTTTACAGGTTCTTTTTGACCACATGGGGTGTCTGAAGAAATATGAAGCTGTGCAAGACATTCTGAAAGAATTCTTTGAACTTAGGTTGCATTATTATAAACTGCGGAAAGACTGGCTCGTTGGTATGCTAGGAGCGGAGTCCGCCAAACTTTCTAATCAGGCACGGTTCGTCCTGGAGAAGATCGAGGGAAAAATATCTATTGGTAAAATCAAGTTTTTTGTCACAATACTGAACATTTTTGTGTATACCGTAACATAAATCTTTATGCACATATTTAGAGAAGCATCTTTTGCTTTTGGCACAAATTTAACTCCACATTTAGAGAGGGTTTTATAGTTATATAAACTTAAACTGATTTTTTTTCTTTAATCAAAGTTTTATAAAGTTCCTAAATTCCCTTTTTAAGGCAGACATTTTATGTATTTATGGCATATTCTGGAATCAGTTGTTATATTCCTGGTATTAGTTTTGTGTTTTGTTTTTGTGTAGAGAATAAATCTAAGAGAGATCTGATTAGAATGCTTGTCCAGAGAGGATATGAATCTGATCCAGTAGCTGCCTGGAACAAGGCTCAAGAGAAGGTATTTTTGTATTTCTGTTTTTATTGCTTTGAAATGTATTACCACCCTTGTTCTCGGGAATGAATAAGTGGTAACTTCACATCACATCACTTTCAATAACCTCTTATCTAATTCAGGGTCATGGTGGCCCAGCATTGGGGCTAGGGTGGGATACACCCTGGATGGGATGCCAGGCCAGCAATAGGGCACACACAGACACAAATATACACACACTCACACTAGGGCCAATTTTACAGAAGCCCATTAAACTACCAGTAAGTCCTTGGACTGTGGGAGGAAACTGGCGCACCTGGAAAAAGCCCACATGAACACGGAGAGAACATGAAAACTTCACCCAGAAAACACCTCAGTAATTTAACTCAGTGCTGCGAGGCAGCAACACTAACCTGTGCCACTGCCCGAAGTGGTAACCTGATGCTTTTAAATTAATACCTGTTTTTTTATCTATTCTAACTGAACAGATGCTGGAAGAGGATGACATGGATGACAATGATGATGCTAGCTCTGTTGACTCTGGCTCAGCCAGTGGACCTAATTTTAATTACATTTTAGGCATGTCTTTGTGGTGCCTAACTAAAGAGAAAGTTGAAGAGCTCTTAAAACAAAGAGATGTGAAGGTAAAGCTTTGAGTTAACATTGATTATTTGTTGCATTTATGATGGAAAAGAGATTACTGGCAGATGAGAGTTGCTGTCTTTATTACATTTAAAGATTTTTTTGCACAGGAACAGAATTTAATTTCTTTGTTGTGCCAGTGTTTTGTACCAAATTAGTACATGAAAAAAACTTTAAATTGTCTCATTAGAACTAGAGGATTTTGACATGTGAAGTATGTCCATATAAGACAAGATGTCCACCCACCAACTCGTCATAACTTTGTGCTTTAAGGTACTCTGAAAGCTACCCAATAATTTATCTAACCTTTTGTATAATCACAATTCTCTGTTACAGAAAAGTGAAGTCAACGATCTCCAAAGAAAATCCCCAGTAGATCTCTGGAGAGAAGACCTGGCAGTATTCATTGAGGAGCTTGATGTAAGTTCTATCCAGTTTGAACAGTTTTGTAGATATTTAAGTTTTTTTATTTTACTTTTATAGCCTCCTGCGCATCATGACCCTCAAATAATAAAATGGTTACTAAAAGTGAATGATTTTTAAATGTCAATGATATATTTAATTTTGGGTAATTCCATGAATGCATTTGATTATACTAAAACATACTTTATATTATAAAGTGCCTATAGAAATCTACCATGATGTATTTAATTGAGGATTTTTGCCACTCATCAACACAAAGTACTCTATAATGTCAAAGTAAAAAAAAATCCAGACATTTTACTAAATCATTCAAAAATTAAAAACTAAATAATTTAATGCATAAGTATGCACCCCCTTGCTTTGACACACCTAAATGACCTCTGAAGTAACCAACTGTCTTCTCCAAGTCACATCATTACTTGACTGAAGTCCACCTGTGTGTAGTTGAGGTGTTTCACATGATTTCAGAATAAATACACCTGTGTCTGGGAGCTTCCCCACTTAGTGCATTTCCAAGGAAACACTACACCATGAAGACCAAGGAACATTCCAAGCAGATCCGAGACAAGGTTCTTGAAATATACCAGATAGGGCAAGGATATAAGAAAATTTCCAAGGCATTGAATATACCTCGAAGCACAGTGTAGTCCGTCATTAAAAAGGTAAGAAAACTTGGAACAACTGTGAATCTGCCCAGAACTGGCCGTCCCACAAAACTGAGTGTCCGAGCAAGAAGACCCGTAGTAAGGGAGGCCACCAAGAGGCCTACAGCAACTCTAAAGGAGTTACAGTCGTCCCTGACAGAGATGGGAGAAACTGTGCATGAGACAACAATAGCGTGCACACTTCATAAAACTGGCTTGTATGGAAGGGTTGGAAGAAGAAAACTTTTATCACATCTCGGCTGGAGTTTGCCCAAAGGCATGTGAGAGACTCAACAATTTGGAGGATGATTCTGTGGTCTCATGAGACCAAAATTGAACTATGTTTGCCACAAACCTAAAACAGCACATCACACTGAGAACACCATCCCTCTAGTGAAGCATGGTGGCGGCATCATCACCATTGAGTTTGTTCCTCTGCGGCAGGAACTGGAAAACTCATAAAGATAGAAAGAAAAATGGATGGAGCTAAGTACAGAAAAATCCTGGAAGAAAACGTGCTGCAGTCCGCAAGAGCACTGGGACTTGGAAGACGATTCATCTTCCAACAGGACAGTGACCTAAAACATATAGCAAAAGCCACACTGGAGTGGCTTAAAACCAAAAAGGTTAATGTCCTGGAGTGGCCCTGTTAAAGCCCAGACCTCAATCCAATTGAGCATCTGTGGAATGACTGTGGAAAATTGCTGTTTACATCCAACTTGATGGAGATTGAGCAATTTTGCCAAGAAGAATGGACAAACATTCCTGTGTCAAAGTGTGCAACGCTGATACTTACCCAAAGAGACTCACAGCTGTAATTGCTGCCAAATGTGGTTCTACCAAGTATTAACTCTGTGGGGGGGGGGGTGAATATTTATGCATTCAGTTATTTTCTGTTTTTTTTTATTTTTAATTAATTTCGTAAAATGTCTGGTTTTGTTTCTCATTCTGACGTTATAGAGTAATTTGTGTCGATGATTGGCAAACATTCTCAGTTATACATCATGGTTCCATGCTGTAACACAGGGATTCCCAACCGGGGGTTTGGTTCCCAAACTGTATTGCAGGGGGTTCGTGAGATTGTGATGGAAACGTCAATGTCAAATTAAATAGTCCTATTAATAAATAATGACGTAATAACAAGAGTCAGAAAAACAATAGTAGCAATATTAAAATTTTACAAAGTGAAAAGAAGCATTTTTAGAGGGCTGCTGTAGCATTTATCTACATTTATTGAAAGGTTTGATGTAGTCAAAATCTCAAGGGGGTACTTGAGGGAAATAATTAAGGTTGAAGGGGTTCAGCTGACAAAAGAGGTTGGGAACCCCTTCTGTAACAATAAAATGTGAAAAGCCCAGGAGGGTGTAGACTTTCTATAGACACTGTACCTGGTGATTTTATATCACCGTAAGTATTTGGTAAATTTCAAAGCATAAAAGTCAGTGTTTGGCTGTGTGGTGAAGCATCACACAATAAGAACACAAAACATAATAACGCAACAAGAAAGATTACAAACGAGCAGTCTAGCCCAGTTGGTAGTTAGTAGTTAATTGATCCAAGGATTTCATCCACCAGTTTCTTGAAAGAAACTTTTTCTCGACTTCAAACAGCATGTCTGAGTGGCCTGTTCCATACTCCCATAGCCCTTTGCTTAAAGAAATATCTCCTTTTCTTGATTTTATATGCACATCCAGGTGGTTTTCACTTGTGGCCTCTGGTTCGTGGGAGAATGCATGCAATTGCCCAAAAATAAAATACGCATTGTGTCTGTCTCATAATAATCACAAGATCACAAAAATTACTTTTTGAAAGCAAAAGTAAATCTTGACATTGCTGCCCGAATACTTTTTGAGGGTACTGTATGAACACACATAACTCTTAGCATAACACAACTTTATGGTTTCTATGAAGAAATCGTTACAGTGGGTTATATTAACATGTGTTTATTAACTCTGATAGGATTTAATCTTACTTTATTTTTCTGTTTAGAGAGTGGAAGCTCAAGAAAAGGAGGACATGCTGGCAGGAAAATCGACCAGGCTCATTAAGGGCAAAATTGGCAAGCCTAAAGTGAAGAAGATGCATCTAGAGGAGACCTTGCCTTCACCATTTGGACGAAGAATTGTTCCACAAATCACTCAAGCAATGAAAGCAGATGCTTCCAAAAAGTTGACTAAAAAGAAAAAGGTTGGTTTGTATACTAGTAAAAACAATTCCCAAAATGAGTGGAGTATAATTTTTAAAATTAATTTTCAATATTGTATGTGAACTTTTGTCTGTCTTTGTCTTTTTTGAAAATGTTTTTATCTCTCTTATGATCTCATTGTGATCAAAACCAGTTTACTGAAGGGTTTCTTTATGCAGGGAGATGGAGATTTGGTTGTGAAAACTGAGTTTGAAGAGGAGCTGGTGACATTGGCAGAAGAAGCAGCTGGAGAAAACTCTATAAATTCACCAGCGGTCAAAGTGAAAGCCCCCCGAGTAAAAAAAGAGAAAAAAGAACCAGGTGTGTGTTGTGAACATTTTCGCGGTGAATAGCGGAATTCTTTTTCAGGTTAGGTGTGAATTTGGCACCATCCCAGATCGTAAGTTTGTAAAATCGTGTCACCCTTTCAAAAGTGAGTCACCCTGATTGTTTTTCAGATAAGAGGCTGAAACTATTTCTCAGTTTCGGCCCTCCTCTCTCTACAAAGCTGACTTCATAGCCTCGTGTAACAGGGAATCCTCTCTTGGTCACGAATTAAGTTATTGGCTGAAACACTTTTGCGTTGCAGGAATGGACCAAAGTAGTCATATATAGATATATTAGTTGGTAAACACCAGTATGTTTTGTTTTATATTCATTTTGAGCGTGTTTTTAATAAGAAGATATTTTTGTACTAATGCCATGACCAAATTATTCAGCATAGTAAAAATGAAAAATTCTGTTATTTTGAAACCATGCATGTTTCAAAACTTGTGCATGTACTTATTCCATTTTGTTTATACTTACAGAACAAGAAACACGATTTTCAATGGCTTTTTCCCTTATTTATACTTTTAATGCTTAATCCAAAGTTGATGCTGTAATCTCTGCTGACATTACATTTTTCTCAGTCCCCTTAAGACCTGTTTAGCCCTTACACATATTTAGCAGTAGAGATAAATGTTAAAATATGTATCATTTAAACTTGTTTGCAGGCACTCCTAGAGCACGAAAAACACCTGTGCCGAAAGGTAGTGCAAAAAAAGTGAAGAAAAGGAACCCGTGGTCAGAGGACGATTCCAAATCAGAAAGTGACTTGGAGGACAGTGAGCCTGTGGTTATCCCGCGAGACACAAAATCTCAAAGAGCTTCAGGTTTGTATTTTAGATTTTTTATATATGCTTTTGAAGTTAATTTTATGTATTTTTTATATGTAGACATTGAAATGAGGAACAAAAAACCTATTAACTCTGCCAGGATTGTGCACAGAAGCAATTCAGACACTACAGGCGATTCTTCAAAGGTGTGGGCAGCTGGGATCTGTAGTCTCTCATGTAGTACTGAAGATTAGCTGAACATCCTACCACTGTGTTTTAGTTTTGGTTGGCTATGTTATATATCAGTTTTTAATTTTTCAAGCTTAGGAAGAAGCGTGTTGTTAAATTAAATTCGTGCTGATTGTAATTTTTTATCCGGATTCTAAAACTTTTAGCTTTCTTTAGAAAATTGTTTTTAGCAAAGGTTTTCTCAAGTATAGCAGACTTTGCCAAGGAAACATGAAAGCCGGTGCAATACTTACAGCTGTAATTGACACAAGTGCTTGAATTTCTTCTGAAAGCTGTTAATAGAAAACCAAAGTAATGTGTAAAGTTGGATTTTTTTATGGAAAAAGATGTGGTGATTATTGTTTTGAGTCATTGTTATTTGTTAAAATAGCAATGCTGGTCCCTACACTGTATGTGCAGCCAGAAAACTGACATTAATATGATAATGATTATAGGAAAACAGTGGATAGCAGGGTTCACTATTCCTTTTCAATGGAGTATTGAAATTATAATGAAATTTTGGAAGTGCAGAGAGATGCATTAAACAAAATGGTCTTTGTGAAATTTTAAATAATGTGCGTGACTTTTTTCAAGTGTGTGATTTTGGCTTTATTTCTCGGGAATGTGCTAAAACATAAGTTTTCAGATACCATCTGAAGTTCATTAACTTTAAAAAAACAATTGTGATTTTTATTTTCCCTTCCCCGTTACAAAACATCAAGAAACCAATTTTTCTTCTGTAATATAAACCTAACTATCTTACCTTGTTTTCTGAGAAAATGTTCATTGATAAATTTTGAGTATTTGATATCTAGGCTCTGAAGATAATCGCCTCTAAGCTGTTTAAGATATAATCAATATTGATAAAATAAGTTAAAAAATATTTATTTGTAAAGTGTTTTGTTTTATTACAACACTGAAATCTTTGTAAACACAAGTTAACTGCTATTATCTAGACATCGCTGGTTTGAGCTCAGGTCATGTCACTAGTTTTAGCACCAGGATTCTGCAAATGGTAGTACATAGTTAGCTCATCTTGGGATAGGCTTCATATTGGTGAGCTCAAAGTAAAACTGCAACCCCAGGTGCTAGCAGGCTTGCAGTGATGTCAGTCAGGAACACATCTCTCCTCCTATTGGGCTGAACCCTCCTGTATGTCAGTGTGGATTTTGTAGCATGTGAAAAGACGCGTGCCTGTCTAAACTTCATTCAGTGAAGATATAGATGCAGATGTCCTTGCTTTGCTCTGCAGTTGGAAAGCCGAAGTACATCTTTGATTTCTCAGAAGAAGAGGAGGATGATCACGAGGAGGAGGAAGAGGATGATGGAGCAATTGTATCTTCACCAGTTAGGAGTTTTAAAGATGACTTCAATGCATCTGAAGGCACAGATAAATATGAGGATGATGAATTCAGTACTGCTAAATCAACATCTGTAGCAGTGTAAGTAGTTTTTTTTTTCCTACCAAACATTTGGTGAATTTTTATATTAAATCATAGTACAGTCATGTTCGCTGATCTTTGGATATACTTAAGTTTTGATTTTCAGAAGCCTTATATTACATTTTAATGTAGCAGAGGATGTATTTTATGCACAACTTGCAGTTTTTGGTTTTGTTCCTTAGCTTGAATGTGTTTCCTGCTGCTCATCTTTGTAAATGGTATAGTTCATGTTTAGATGCAAATAATGAAAATGATTTTTTTAATAGATTACTTTAGTAATATTCACTTTGCTATGAGGTAGAGTGTTAGGATTTTATTTGTAATTTTACTTTGTGATTTTAATGTCCATTTCACATTTGATTCCAGAGTTAGCCCCCTCAGTAAACTCAATCTGTCACCACAAAGACTTCTAGAGTAAATATGTAAAGGTTACTGTAAATTAGATTGTAATTACATTATTTCTTTGCTTTTAAAGGTCCTTTTCACCAGAAAAGAAAAAACAGGAGCCTGAAAATTTGTTTTCTCCAAAATCATTATACTCAGAGAAGAGCAATGACAGTGGTATGTTACCCTCTTTTACTGTGATAATGTGACTTAAAAGTAGAATCATATAATGCCTTTTTGTATAAGATGGCTCAGTGCATTTCTTGTGTTCATTTTTCATTTTCAGATGGATTGAAGTTTGACAGTGACGAGGATGACCGTGAGCCTGTCTTCTCATCGTTATCCAGCACCACAGTTTTTGATAAACCAGCCCAAACAAAGAAAGCTAGTACGTTTTTTTATTTGGTGTATTCAGTTCTTGCTTTTCCAGATTTTATTTCCAGTCTGTGTTTGTTCCAGCTTTGTAAAGTCTACAAAGTGGTAGAGGCCATTAAGTCCGTTTTGGAGTTTAGTAGTGTCTAATTGATCTGAAGATCTCTTCAAGCCTTTTCTTGTAGGAGTGATGGTGTTGGCTGGGTAGTTTGTGCTAGATTCCCACAATCTTGTCTCTAAGCAAGTGCCTCGTGTTCTTAGTTTTAAATGTGTTTCCCCTCAGTTTCCATTATGTTTTTAGGTTGATTTTAGTGTCTTTGAGGATTTTCTCTACTTGGATCAATTCCCTTCATAGTCTTCTCTGTTTGAGACTTAAAAGATTTGCTAATTTCTTTGAGCCTGGACATGTACCTGTACACTCTTCACTGGTGTGATTCCAGAGAAGCAGGATCTATTTGTATTGTGATATTCTAAATTGTACACAGTATTCTAAATGGGGTCTTACTAGTGCATTGTGTAACTTAAGGATTGTATTTAACCATTTTAGTGTCAGCCATTGAACACAACAAACTGCATTGTTCTAACATGGGTAAATTTATGCAAAATAATACCTAGAAACAAAATCCCCAAATGTGTAGTTTTTTCTTACTATTCATTTGATCTAAAATACAAATTCCATTAGCATACAGCAAAAATGACAAATTTAACTCAGTACTTATTGCTTTTCACTGTCTGCACCTTGTATTGCTCACAGCAATGGCCTTGCGTGCCATTATCCTGTGAATTTAATAGTTTCGGCACTTTGTATCGGCATTATACTTAGGTAGCTAAGACTGACTTAAGTTTCTAGTATTCATTTTTTCTGCTTTGTTTTATCACATTTCTTTGGATAACAATGGTGATGTAATTTAACTTTGAAAAGGTACTGCATAACATAGGACTTACTAGTGTAGGGGAATGTGGTTATTATGAAAGTATATTTATAGACAATGGGGTCTGTTATTTTGTTTCTTTTTACAGCAAAGAAACCCTCAGAAGGAACTCCAAAGCCTAAAAAGCCTCCAAAGCCCAAGAAAGCTGAGACAATAGTCTGGGATTCAGATTCAGAGTTTGGTACTCCAAAGAAAACTGCTACACCCAAAGGTATATCACTGGCTTTTAAAAACCAAAATTCAGTTGGTTTTCTTTTTTTTTTGTAGTAGCTAGAATATCATTTGGTTATATAATTAAATTCATATTGTATGAATATTTTGAAAAAGGAAAGTTTTCTGAAATATCTAATTTCACCAGTGACTTTCAGAGATTCACAGTTATGCGTTCTTTTGTACTGAATACAGTCTTATTATTTTGGCAGTTCGGGAGATTCCTAATCACTCTTTGAAAATTGTAATATCATATAATATGTGCAATCCTATTACAGTTGTGAAATATCTGTAATGAGACCCCAATAAGGAATAAAGTAAATTGATTATTTTCTATGATTTTGATTAAATAGTTCAGGTATTTGTATATGTTTTGCATTAAGTTAATATTACCTGAAATATTTCTATTTATCTATTTTAAATGTTTCAAATTTCAGAGAGGAATGTACAATAACTAATAAGTATTAGGTATAACAGTGCCAATAAAATGTATTTTATTAGCATTATTTTTAAGTTAGCAAATACCCTTATTACCCTTATCCAGAATATTTAAAGAATTTGAATTAAGTGTACCAGATAGTATTATATGCTAGTATTGGCTATAAAAAAGTTGTTCATTTAACATCTGCCCAGGAAATTGATCTTCACAAGTTTGTTAAAGCCTTTCACAACTGATCTTGTACAATAGCTGCAAATCCCCACAACTTTCTTGTCACAAGTCCAGACTTTGCACGTTTGTTTATGATTGAGCCGAACAACTGGACATTTATTTCTCAGGTAAAGGCAGAGGAAGAAAAAGAAAGATGTCAGGCTCCGAGGATGAAGATGAATACAATCCCGTAAAAAAAACTGGAAGGTCTTCTGCAAACAAGGTGTGTTCTGCAGTGTAACAATACAACACAACAAAAAATGTAAACACTAATAATATAACAGGCCAAAAACAGTTTGGTCTTCAGTCATGTTTTATTAGATGCTGTTTTTCTTTTCTTTTTTATTTTAAGCTTTCAAAATGTTCAGTGTTATTAAGTTGTGTGAGTTAGTTTTCCGCTGAGACATTTCTAATTACTAAAGCATTTGTAAACGTGAAAATAGACAATCAATTTTGCTTTGGTTTATCTTGCCTATAAAGATTGTGTGTGAAGGATTGTTGTATTGCAGATCTTTGGAGCAAGTGGCAGTGAATCATTTTAATTGATTTTTTTTTCTGTTAGAAATCAAAGAAAGCAGCTTCAGAAGAAGAGGACTTTGACACGAACAACTTCGGCAGATCAGAAACCTCTTCGAGAGAGAGGCCAGGCCGGGCCAAGAAAGAAGTAAAATATTTTGCCGAGTCAGATGATGATGAAGATGAATATGATATCTATTAGTAGGTGTTAGAAGCACCACAGCATTTTTCAACACATTCTCTTGTGAAATATCCCCCTGTCCTTTGTCTTGCAGACTTTTGTACATTTTGCTTTTATGCTTATTTTGTGATGATGGTCAATGGTTTTTAATGTGTAGGTGTTTTACACTTTTTATTATACATATACAGTTTTTTTTTATCATTGAAATGTTATGTATTTGTCAAAGCAGCTTTTAGAAATTTAGATTGCTGTGCTAAAGCACATTTTAATTGTTAAAATAAAATGTAAACCTTTTTTGAAATGAACTCGAAGTAAACATTAAGAAATGTCAAACATTTGAACTTTTTATTTCTTGAAGTGCAGTATTTCCACTTTTTGCAATTTGGATGCAAATGAGACATTTGGGTTTAATTACCCCTGATTCCAGGCAAGCCTGATTTTCATGGCAGTGTAAAACAAAATCTGGTTTTGAAAATATATCACCAATTTTCAGATAAAGGTTTTGTCAGTATGAACTCTTGACATTGCAATGAGTTATTTTTTGTTGGCCAGATTGTTCAAGCCCAGCTTGGTATTTTAGCCAGGGATAATCCCCCCGTGAGGTTATTTTTAATGACCAACTAGCCAGGACCTGTTTGAATATCTCCTCCTAGAGCACGGTGTCCTGTATTACCATACTAGAGCATAAGTTTGGAAATTTTGGGCCAGAATGAGGAGTTCCAGTTTCTGTTTCACAAATACCATTTACAACAGCAATGAACACTTTTTGAAAATCAAATCTAGTTTTTCTAGTGGGTGATTTAAAGGCCAGTGCTCAGTGTGATAAGAATGATTCTGTAAGTCATATCTGAAAAGTTAGAACTGGCTACCTTCAGCAAAAATCAAAGCTCTGCCAGGATCTTTTATTACTATAAGCACACAGCTGTTGAAGACTTCTGTTGATCACCACTTAACACAATTGTATTGTAGCTTCATTGTATACTATTAATTAGTCTTATTTTTTCAATAGATGTTGAAACATTCATCTTTGGATTGTTTGTTAATGGTAGTATTGAGGCTCTGCTCCTACACCCCCAATGACATTAGGATTAGGTTTGATTTGGCTGTTCTGAATTGACCCCTTTTTATAACTTCCCATCCAGGGAAGTAAAGAGTCATGTGGTCCCATTCCCAGGACAGGCTGCAGTTTACATCTGTCCTAATCATGATAAATGGTTTTCTGATAATGGACGCGTCCTTACAGTTATGTATTGGTCTTGAAAATTACGACACTTTACATGCTATTAACAGTAGAGTGCTAATAAATGGCTGTCTTTTGTGGCTGATTTGAATATTTTCGCTCTTTAAAATTTACACGGGAAAGTTGACTAGTAAAATGGTCTTTGTTGCTACACATTTCAACAATCCAAGATAGCTCAATGAGGTGATGTAATTTCCGGTTTCATATTTGTCTAATGTACTTTTTTACCCTTAAATATCAGACCGTGTGCAGGGTGTAGAAGGCAGGGCGAACAGCAAGGGCATTTTAGATCTCTGTTTCGGTGAATGTGTAGTCCAGAGGTTTTGTGAACATTTTGAAAAGCACATGAGCTGTTCATACTGTAGATTTCAGAGCAAGGATGAGGGCAAGGAGTAGTTACTATTCATATTTTTGGTTTTGCATTAATCATCTTAAAGCAACAGCACAAACATATTAGCAAATGTTGACTTCTCATTAGACTCTTGTTCCTTTATATCCAGAGCAGTGGAATAAATTCAGTGCATCATGCTGCCCATTAAAGCTGCAGATTATTGTTCTCCTCTGTTTACTGATAAATCATGTAAAACATGGTCACTGCCAGTTTTCAATTCTAATCTTTCAGAGTCACCTATGTTGGCAGTAAATATAAGGTAAGTTGACTAATCATGGATGACATCAGTGATATTCATGCAACTGAGAGAGGAGGTGTAACTGCTCTTACATCTAGGGTGTTGTGCTAGCCTTTATGTGATTTCTGATATATTGGTGCATACCTTTTCATCTTAAATGGTCACTACTTCTTTCACTGATCTTGGATGGTTGACCTGAACTTTATATGCCTAAAATACCGTATGCAAGAAACTCCTTTAAGATGAACTCTTTCGTTTGGAAGCATACCTAGTCATCGTCAATCCTGTGTGCGTGAAGGTGATCATGTGAAGTAGACCATAATGTTCCGTAGAGCTGTTGGCTTGTACACTGTACAGTCCACTTTAGTGGCATGGTATCACATTTTACATGAAACCATAAATGTGACAAATGGTATACATTTCAAATGGACTATTTAATCAATGATAAGATGGTTTCTTAATTCCCTTTTCTATTTTGTTTTCTTAAAATACAGTAGCATCGTAGGTCATTTTACCAAACCATGTACTTACCATTAAATTAACATACCTTAGTATTTTAAAATAAATATATTTTATTATTTTGCCAGGAGATTCCATGGTAAAGGTAAACAGTATATGAACATAAAAAGCTTGTTAATGTACAAACAAGAGCCAGTGAAAATACATTACAGATATAGCAAATACAAAAGAATATTCCAACAGCAGGGCTTTGAATGAATGGGCTCAGTCACTGTTTCTGCGTGAATCAAATTAATAGGCAGAGATCTTTAGTATAGTTTTTTCATGTAATTGTTGCCCCTGCATTAGTGTTTTAAATGAATCCTAAAGTAATAGATTTTTAATGTATCTATGAACACAATTCTACAACACTGCTGTATCGTGATTTACTGCTTCAGCCAATTTACATACATTTCCTAAGTGGCTCAAAATGACACGGGAAAACAGAACAACACTGTCACACTGTGTTTTGCCTTGGAGGCTATCTTTGCTGCCAAACAGGGGTGAGATCAGAGATACACAGAGTGTTTGATATGTTTTACAAATAACTGAAGGAGACCATTTCAATACTTCCTGTGGTGCGAGTTGTGTTGTAACATTCACAGGTTTACAGAATGGCTCTCAGCATTATGGATTCCAATCCTCTTGGAATTCATAATCTTCGGTTTGAAACTTTTGATGCATTTAATGTGCATAGACAAACTAGAATACAATGATAAAAAAAAAATCAATTTGGAGAAATGGAACCAAAAGGCATCTCAAAGCGCACGCTATTACATTCAATACTCTTGCTCACTTTCCCCTCTTCTTCCTAGGGGGAAACTTTTGTGTGCAGTAAGATTCAATTAAGCGTAGAGTCACTGCTTAGAAGCAGTTTTTTTTTTAATAACGCCACTTTGTAATGACCTAGTTCTTGTAAATGTCTAAGAATTAAAAACCTTTTGAAAAAAAAATCCCACTTTATGTATACCTTTTACTACATGGTATAAAAATATATTTAAAATCCTAATTGACTTGTAGAAAAAAAAAAGTAGGAATCGTCCAGCCTTGGTATTTGACTATTACCGTTATTTTAATCCCCATTGTTCTGCAGATGTGTATCTACCTTGCCAACATACTGTATGTTGCATGTCTGCATCTGTTGGCAAATCAATGAAATGCAAATATACCACAGGGAAATTAAAGCATACCATTATGACAATGGATACATTTAAGCCAGGATTTATGTGCATCTCAAGCAAGAAGCAACTGCTTTGGAGACTACATTTTTTAAAATAGGTGAATCACACACTGTCCCCCAGTGTTTTGGGACCAGAAATTGATGTCCAGCTGAGCTACAGCAGTACCCTGTCAGGGCCCACCATATGTGTAAAATCCCCAACTATCATTTCATATGTGGTTGAATTACAGGTTTTTTATAGCTTCAACATTAGAAGTGGCTAAGTGTTGTTAATAATGAATGACCATGGTGCTTCGCTGCTACTCTGCATGCAAGTATTTATAGTGGATATATTACATTTTCTAGGTACGTACAGTTATATAAATGTAATGTATTCGGAAAAGAATACTAGGTATCCAGCTGGCACAAACAAAGCAGGCTGTGTTGGCCAAACAATGAATGATGATATCATGGAACTGGTGCAATGCCAGAAGACTTTCTCTTGCTTTAGAGGGATTTTGGGAAATGTATTGTATAACACGTACCAGAATCAGCACGGTTTAGGCTCCAAAAGTTTAGACTAGTGAAGGTTATCCTATACCCCTTCCCCCGTCCCCAACCTTTGGTTCCAAAACATGATCTTTCAGGCCTGAGCTTCTACCTACTCCAAGTGCAGCCTTTGGCCGCCTGTGAATGTGTGTTTGAGAGTTGCAACATCAAGACAAAACTGCAGTCTACTGTGTATTCATTATTCCTATTTTTCTGTATGGGTTGAAACATGGACAACAGGAGACACTGAAAAGGCCTGGAGTCAAAACACCAACTTTTTGAGAGGTTTTAATGCCTCTCAGTACATTTCAGACACATTATCTTGATGTTCATGTTTGTGTATGAACTTTCGGAGTTTTCAGAGATTTGTACATTGTACGTCCTGAGAGAGAGAGATGCATGTCATGTATGTTAGATTCCCATTGAATTATTTACCTATTTCAATTAGGGACTCAGGACCAAAAATGTAATAAGACCATTATAAGCATTCAGATCATCTGCAATATCCCGACAGTGCATTTCAAGAGAACAGGATGCATCTGCTGTAAAAGTGGTTAAAAACTGAAGTTCACAAACAGTAAGCCATAGAAGGTTTGACCTGTGTGGGCTTTTTTGTTTTCACTTCATATATGTTCAAAGGATTATTTTTAAAACTAACATAATTAAAATATAATTAGTTTAACAATCACAGATTTCAGAAATCCCAGTTTAGGTCCTTAGGAACTATGATGTCATTGCAGAACCTGGAGACAACTGAAGTGAGAAAAGGAGACAAATGCACAATTGGAAGTGATTAAAAAAGATTCCAGCAAAATTGAAAAATTGAAAATAAGCCAGTTTAGCTTTACATTGAGCATGTCCGGTGATGCACAAAGCAAAATGTGTTGTGTGCAGGTATCTTCTACCCACACTGGATTCTTGATAGAAGACACAGCACCTTAATATCTAAACCCAAACACGAAATGGGTCAACAGGACATGGCTGAACAGGACAAAACAGTTGAAGTACACAGCACATTTAAAATGAAGGCTACAGAAGCTTACATGTAGCGCTTTGCATTGGCAAATCTGGTCAGTCACACAACGGGGAGAAAGTCTCCTGCAAAGGATAAGCGCTTGATGAAGATAGAAGTGAAGTCTAGTAGCATAGCTAGGCGAGGTCCTGCTTTAAAACACTTGCCAAATTGGAGAGATGGGCAGTGATGTAAAAGAACAGCTCCAAAAAAGTGTCTCAGTTCAGACAGATGAGGTGACCGATTACATTCAGTGGTGCACAACTAGAGACTCATTTTACATCAGGCAGCCATCAGAATTAAAGGTGAAGTGCTTTTGAAACCTTTAAGAGGTAATGCACAAGACACTGGTATTGACTGGGGATGATGGTCCGTGGGCCATGGTGATGCAAGTTCTATGACTGAAGAGCACAGTGGCCTTGTGACAAGGATGCAAGCAGGAATCCCCAAGGCAACCTGGAGTCATTGTTTCATGTCAGGCAGACAATGGCTGTTGGCTCAAGTTGCCACAGGTTCACAGCAATGGGCTTTCCAATGCAAATCATGTACTTGCCAAAGTTGCGCTCAGTTAATTTATTGATTTTTGCCATTTTACTCAAAGAGATGGGGGCAAGCCTCAGCCTGTCATTACACAGAGAGGCCTTATGTCTGTCTAGGGCCAAGGTGTGGACGACTCAAGACTGCGTGAGCTTTGCAGGGAAGCCTGCATTTTTCTTGCTGACCAAACCTCTCCACGTGTACAGCAAGTCAGTGACACTCATTGGATATCCTTATTGTGATATCCATCTGCCATATTTGAGTGACTAAATGTGTCACTTCAGGGTCGGGATTCAAACGTTTTAATGTCAAGTGACAGGATAGCCGCATTCATTAATAAAGCTGAATACGGGTCTTTATATGTGCAGCAGGGATCAATTCACATGTCTTTGACACAGGAGTATCTTATGGATCAGTGTGTTAATCATTCAGTTGACAGTATGAAGGACATAACTGTTCTACATTTACAGGGCCTACTGGAACAATTCAGTGAATATTTCATGGATGTGGGAAATGACAAATGTAGTCACCTTTAAGATGAAGCACACAGATACCTTCAGAGTAAGAGAAAAGAAAGCCTTATCAACCTTTCAAGCAGCAGGGATTTTAGCAAATGCCAGTCAGAGCCTTTTGGTTACCAGTAGGATTTGAGCTTCACATGTTAACAGACTGGTCCCTTAAAGCCTTCATTCTGTTTTTGTCCAGTTCCCTACTAAAGGTCTGTCAGGCCTCTCAGCATTAACTGAAATAAAAGAAAAGTATGTCCCCCAGATTAAAACTGAACAAAACTCGTGTCTCCGCCTTTCTATTTTTCACCCCCAAAACCCTTACTGCGTGTGACAAAGAAACCTTAGGTTTTTAAAATATTTGGTGTTATTTTGAGTTTGTTCCGTTTTTACTGTTTTGAACTTTGAGTTTAAGATGAATACTCCTAAGACTAATACTGATATACATGTAGACCAAATCCCATACACTTTGTATTCATAATTTTGCTGCAATTCTGTCATATTATGTTAGTGAATGGGGAGTTTTCTGAGAACCCACTGTAGACATGAAATACAGTACTTTGTTTTAAAACAAGTTAACATGATAAAATACTCGATATCATCTCTGTCCTTGACATGTTGGTCTTTATGAAAATTGAAAATCTTCAATAGCTACAAGCTCAGATAAAAAATTTATAGAGTTCAGAAAGCTCAGAGTACACTGAGACTCTACAGGACTAGGTGTATAGATCACTACTTTACATTAGTTGCAGGTGTTGAATTTTGATAAGTGCTATGGTACTTGCTTAGACTGGTTAGATAATTGGTTTCAAAGATAATGGTGCATTTTTGTATGCAATTAAGTGAGTTGGGATGACATTTTTTTAAATTTTATGTTCATGTATTTTCATAACTAGTCCAGCTACTAGTATATCCTTCCCGAGAGTCAAACTCATAAGCAACTCCAGCTCAGAGACACAAAGCAACCCTTCAAGGCAGCAGCGAATTCCACTGTGCTAAAAGGCTGGGCCTCCCACTGTGGGAGAATTTAGTGCTATCCAGATTCCAACGGGGTGATGTCACTTTCTGTAACAGGCCCAGTGCCAAAATGCTATACTTTAATCAGGTGAAGAAAACCGCACAATGCTTTAGCCAAAAATGTAGACTCATTGCTCTGGAATACCCTCTTTAAAATAAACATATTGCCTATGGAAAACATTAAATCTTTGACAATTCAGACTCATTTTGTGAAACAACTAAAACCTCTACCCAGATTGCACTGCTATGAGTCTGTTCTGCACTGATATTTTAAACATTCAACTTTCTGGAAAGAAAATATAATCGACAGCATTTTCCCTACTTTTTTCTGCCAAAAGACACTGATAAAGCAGCAATAAAATGTGAAATGTGATTTTGATTACATTGGCCCTTTCAAATCCTCTCAGAATTACTGTGCAAAGCCAGCTGGAAGTAATTGAAATGGTCTCCTTATTGAAATTTCTTCCCTTGACAGCATCAAAACTTGTTGAACAGAATTAACAGATTGTACAGATACCAAGGGATATGGCGAATTCTGCCACTTTTGTAGAGTCTATCATCTTGTTGAATGGTGAAATAAGAGTAAAAAAATCTTTAAATATATAAACAGATATAAAATAGACTTCCATCCTACCTAAGCCAGAACATTCTATATAACCATTTTAAGGACTTAATAAGCCCATTTTATCTTGATGTATCGCCTTAAACATGATCATATTTAAGACAATGGAAAAGCACCACAAAGTCATTATAGAAACATAGGTTTAACCATACAATGGTATGTACAATGTATGCCAACAAGAAGTATAGAATAAAACCACTTACCAAGCTTTGAGACCATCATGCAATGATGAAATTTACATAATGGAAACCTGAAGTTTTAAACTGTCGTTGCTGTTATTGTCATTCTTTTTTTGGCGTCTGGCCAAAGGGAGCTTTGAAATTCAAGGGTACAGTTTCAGTCCTCCCCCCCCCCCCAAATAAGAGCTTAATAACAATTATACACAAAGCATTGGTCCTTTTAGGCCTTAGTGTTGTAAAAAAAAGCAAAGCAAAGACAAAGCATCACTGAAAATGCTTCTGGCTTTGCGCGTCCCCCTGTATTGTGCAAAGGAATGTCTAATAAAGTTCTCAATGGTCCTATTTCTCTTCAGCCAGCTGTGCGGCAGGGCCACTCTCCTCTGACGTGGGGCTGTCCTGGGGTTTGTCTGGACTTTCCTCAGGTCTCTGTCCATCTTGTCCTTCTGAGTTTTCCAGCATTTCCTGGATTAGCGGAGGCATTGATCCTGGAATTTCCATTTTGAGGGTAATAACACGTTCTGCACCTGTGGAAAAACAGAGACAGACGCTTTTGAATTACTCTATCTGACAACTACAGCGCATTCCATTTCAATCATGATTACTTCCTCATGTCCAATGAATATGCGCAGCATACGCAGTGTGAGGAAATAAAATAATTCAGAAAAGCAAAAATACCTAATAAAGTGACAAGATACACAGAAAAATAATGCATTAGACTTGATAAGAAGCTATAAAAATCTGAATATTTAAAAAAAATGAAAGGTGATAACAGACTTTAAACTTATAGTATATTTCTATATACAGTACAGACAGGCTCTTTCATTGTTTTAAATATATAAATGTAGGTAGGCAGGGTAACAGGGAATGTGTTGAGCACGCAGCAGAATAGAAATCAGTTTTCTCAGAATACTAAAACAAATCCTAAATGTAATTCATTATTATACCTGATTTGGCAATTCACCTAATTTGATTTGTTTCAGAGTAGATTTCATTGTCACTCTACACAGGAGGTTAGCAACAAAGATAATTTGCTCACACCATTCCCAGCTGAGCTAACAGGCAAAACAAGAAAGCATATAAAAAGAAAGCAAGGGGATTCTGAATGATCTGACATACTGACCATGGTGGTGCTGATATTCACTAGTACCACTGAAAATGCAACATCACACTTGATTAAGCCATGAACCCAAATATTCATGAAAATCTCAATATCCTGGAGTTTTCTTTTTGTCTTCTGTCTTATACCATGACAAACTGCCATGTCATTCCCCTCTTTAGATTCTTTATATGTGGATTTAAGTCAGAGTCTCTTACCTTTCGCACTGATGCTGCGCAGATCTGTGATTTTCATTAAAATCTTTGGAAACATATGTGGTTTACTAGGTCTCCGCTTTCTTATATAGATCTTTAATGCCTCTAGCAGTGGTTCCTGTAGCTTGTCAACTTTTGCTGGTTCCTCAAGGTCTTGTCGGTCTGTCAATGAGAGTATTACATCGTCTTTACAAACAACACATTTTCATTATTATGTGTTTCAAAGCAGATGCTTGCTTAGGCCAAGCACCTTTGAAAAAGGCAGAAGTCACTCACAATTAAATAAAATACTGAAACCTGTTTAGGAATTGTCAGACATATTTTTTTCCATAAATAAAACTTGCTTGGTTCCTTGGATCTGCCAGAGCCTGTCTTGGCAAGCAATGGACACCAGTCTACTGCAGGACAGATATACAGACCCAAACACATACACTCACACCAGGGTCGATTTTATAGAAGCCAATTAACCTACCAGTATGTCTCTGGACTGTGGGAAGAAACTGGAGTACCCAGAGAAAACTCACTTGAACATAACATCACATCACTTTATTAGCCTTATACAATTTCTTGCATGAGGAATTTGTCTTTTCGCGTACCCCAGCTTGCTCTCCATGAGACACACAGGCACACAGAAAGGGAGAGAGCACAGGGTCAGCCATTGTACAGCACCCCTGGAGCACCTGGGGTTAAGGGCCTTGCTCAGGGGCCCAACAGAGTAGGACTCCTCTGCCAGCTGTGGGATTTGAACCGACAACCTTCCAGCCACAGGCGCAGATCCTTAGCCACAGAACAACCACTCCGCCCCACACACAAGGAGTTCATACAAACACCACACAGATAGCACCCAAGAAATAAAACTAAGGTCCCGGGACTGCCAGGCAGCAATGCTAACAGCTTTGTCACCATTAAATAACTGTCAGAGGAACCAAAATAGAACAATATAGTGGTTCGACAACAGCAGTGTGTGTGAGAGCTAACTAAAGTCAAATTGGAGAGCTGCAGTATTCAACATTGCCATATGATGGCAGTATGTATATATTAAACTGCTGTTTTCTAGGAAATGCTTCCTGTCAAGCCCATTTATAGAGTTTTACAATAGTGGCTGCACTGTGTGATCCTATTTTGGCATGTTGTAGAGGCTGTAAACAGTTGATGCAGAATGTGCTCAATACAACTTAATTATATGGGTGCTATTGTACAAAGCCTTAGAATACATTTGTTCGTAAATAAAAATGTATTATTATGAGACATTAAATGGTTGCTAAAACATAAAATCTCACGGAATCTAAACACTGGAAAAAAGCCAATGAAATAAATGTTTCTGCATCACTCATTTAAGGACTGTTTTCAATTTCATGTTAATTGTGTATGTTTATATACAGCACTCAAGTGGAAAATAAAAGTCTATTTAGACGGTCCTTTCTAGAATTGTGAAATGGTAAGAGTTAATTAATGTTTATTGTTTTAATTTACTGTATAACTTCTTCTTTGAAAGACACTATAATCTAAAGAGCTGCTCCATGTAAGACCTATACAAAGAGTACATCTTGTCCTTTCAAGACCAGGGAGTTTTGGCTGATCTCACGGCGTTAGATCATTGATGCTCCAGATCTTAGATCAGAGTTTAACAGCAAGGATTAAATGTACATGTAATCAACTTCTTCCTTCTGGCAAACGTGTTAGGGTTCCAGAAGTGAAACAGATACAAACATTCCTTCGTTACACTATCCATTAAAGATGTCAACGCAAATGTCAAGGATAAACAAAATTGTGACTTTACAACCCACTTGAATGCAATATGTTTTGTGATGCGTTATAAATGTTACATGTTGTTATGTATTATACATGTGCAATAGAGTGATGTGCAATGTTTTTCTTATTTTTTGTAACAGAATAATGTGCAATGTTTTTCTTTTCTTTTTTTTTTGTTTGCATTCAATTTAAATGTACAGGAGTGCTGTGTGTTCATAAAAAATTACCCTCAGGGGACAATAAAAATCTTATCTTATATGTATGAAAGTAATGTACATAAACATAAAAATGTATTGTATGATAACCAAAAAACCCCACAAATTTAATATACAGAATACTTTGCATTATCATTATCATATTACACTATCACAGAAATGTATTTTTTAGTTTTAGAAAGTGTTCTTTCACAATTCTGGTCACATAACTGTATTTGTATTGCACTTGTGAACTAAATGTATAAAGACAAATGCAAAATGGTTGCTGCCTGTTGATCACAGCTGCTTCTTATGGTGCACACTGAGCATGGATCTGTATGTATATGGGCACTGTATTCAACTCTTGCTTGATGTCTAGTTACGATCTCTAAGACATTTTAGCAATTGCTGGAAATGAAAGTTAAAAGAAGGCCAAAAAAGATGAGCATAGTCAAAACCTAACAAAAACAAACTTAAATCCCTCTTAGCGACTTTAAATGTATGTATGTATATGAACATACATCACAGACAACGAATCTGAAATCCTGTTTATTGTAAATTAAAAGTTTTGAACTTTAGTGAACAGAAAATTAAGAAAATAAGAACAGAGATTAAGAAAAGAAGTTCAGGTGGGTAGCTGCGTCAGTGTGCATAGGCTGCAAAGGAACAAGTAATTATTCCATGCTGAAAAAATGAAAAGAAAGAAAACACAACTTTTCGCCTGTACTGGAATAAACCTATTACTTGTTCCATTCAGAAAATAATACAGCAAACCAATACATGGACCAGAGATAAAAGAACAAAGGAAAGGTGATTGTCAATTTAAATTGTGCACTTGTAATTATAGAGCCTAGTTTTCTAGTGATAATGGCTTGTGTTGTAGGGATCTGCAAAAATTAGTTTTTTTCTTTCTTCCTCCCCTCGTTCAGATGCTCCTTTCCGGTCCATTTTCCTACAACCTGCAGTGATGAGCACTGCGCACCATGTGGAGATACGCACCTCCAGAAATGAGACAGATGGCACTGAGGAGGCCTGTCTCCGTGTCATCCATCTCTAAAGGCAGGAGCTGATTGGCAAACGTGAAGACGAGGTCGGTGAGAGGGCCAAATCCTGCGTTGTGCATTTGCGTTCTGTTCAGCGTAAGGCCGTCGGAGAAGGTCATTGTGTCCTGGTCTGGCGTGTATCTTGTACAGATCCGGAGAATCTAGATTTGGGAACCAGAGGAAACCAGCTATAACCAGTTGAAACAAGTTGAAACCAGTACTTCAATAAAACTCTTGCTCTAGATCAAAGAATTACATTAAAGCTTATATATAATTTCCATGCATACAAATTAAATACAAAAAGAGAAAATATCTAATAAAACCACTCGTAAGACAGAGAACAATTTTCTCTCTCAGAAATGAGCGCACACACGGACAGCACTGGAAGAATGCTGTACGTAATGAAAACTGCATTTACTTTTCAAAGCATTTTGTGATCATTATATGCAGCCTAAAGGTCCTAGCCTATTCTTCTGAGCAGCAGACCAACTAGGCCTAATCTTTTGGCACTATTTCACTTTCATCACTGCCAGGCAACAGGCTTCAAGATGAGTGGGAGGCAAATGCATCTCTGTTGCAAATTAACTGCGGTAACAGGCACATTCAGCTTCCTTTGAAGACGGCAACCTACATAGTCACAGATACAACAGTAGTGTTAGCAGTGATTTTTAAAAGGTATTGGAGGCAAACAAAGATGGCTGCCCCTGTCTGACATTCCCAGTAAAGATCTGAAAACAGTGCTGGAAAAAACAACATACGCTTAAAAATGCATAAATTACAAAAAAAATTTCCCGGAACAGGGGAGCTGACTAGAGCATTTGGAAAGTAAAAACTATGCGAACACAGGAAGAAAAAAAGCAAGGTCACCAAAGACGATACCTTAGCCCATATTCAAACCCAGGACACTAAAAGTGCAAGGAAGCTACACTAACTGCTACATCACCATGACCTCTGTATGGATCAACTGATATATTAATATACAAGTAGGATATATACCAATAACTAATTTGTGATTTTAAATGCAGGATAGTAAAACATACTCTAGTTTTAGTCTTATATTAGCAATTAACTGAAACAGTTGTTGAGTCTAGTTCAAGTTTAAACTCTTTATTGCCAAAACACTTACACTGTAGAAACACAGTGCCCAACAGTTTTAAACCAAGACTTCTGAAGTTTTAATATTCAGAGATAACACTTCCTTTGTGTAATGTGACTTCCAGGGTGACTTGATTCAATTTGTCAATTTTATAGCTTAGTCTCTGCTGAACTAATAATTAAAATAGATAAGAACATATATAAAAGCACACATTTGTTTCATTTTTTAATTATATTGTGTTCAGGATGCAGGTAATATTCCTCTTTAATAATAATTATTTAAAAGATTAAGTACCTTCAGCTACATCATTGGTTATTGGTATCTAAGAAATTGAAAAAGAAATTTAATTAACTGTGAAATGGAATATTACTCATTCTACAGTAATATTTTAGTAATTAGATCCCATAAAGCATTAAGGAACTATTTTATGCTAACTTTGAATTCATATGTAGGCTTAATTGAAATTGTACCCCATTGATAATATAGCCTTTTTCCAGATGACACCTTTTGAGGTTGGCTTTGACAATGAATTGAAAAACAACAGAATTATTAAAGAGAATAAAACATGTTCAACATGACTCATGCAGGCGTTGCTGAGAAATATTATTTGTTTGATCTTTCTTTGGAGTCCGCAATGGGATTTTCAGTCAACACCATAATGGAAGAAAGCAGTTCTGAGAATATACAGTATGAAGTATACAGTATGTGGTTATCCAGTAAAGCTCTCCTCTTACAGAAATCCCAAAGGGTTTAACTGAACTAAGAGGTTATGCAGTGGAGCAGAAACCTAAATGTTCAACTTGCTTTGTACTTTTAATGAGTAAAATTTACATAGCACCATATTTGTAGGTGTCTAGGAGTTTCACTGCTGTCAGCCTTTAAAACTCATCTCGAAAGTTCTCACATTGCACAACCTAAAATAAATGGTTTGTAATGAACTCTACTCATTTTGGACAATGTCATGGTCTGTTTTAGTTCTTGTATTCAAATAAAGATATGTAGTCACGAAAAACAGATAAACGGTTTCACAAATTGTTCAATTCTTAATTTAATTTCCTTTATTTCCCTTTCATCTGCAATTTCTAACAGGAAAGTCAGCTTTTTAGGATAAATACAAAAATGCACAAGGACTTCAAACATGTTCAAACCTGTACAGTTCAGTCAGTGCACAAATAAAATATATATTTTTTTACGTAAGATTAGAACACTTATTAATATCTGTAGGTATTTACAGTCTTTCGTAGATAAACAGAAATTATATTAGAGTGCATGACCCTAACAAATCCTGTATGCAGGTTGTTTATTTTTCAGGAAACTGAAACACCAGTGGAAATTAAATAGGATGTAATGTATAGTGTTTTGGCAGTAGTATCAAATTCTTTAGATATTTTACAAAATGGTTAAACAAAAACAATAATGTCTACCCCCCCCCCCCCCCCGCTGAGAGGCACTGCTGACCTGTTGCTTTGGAAAGTTGTGAAATACAGTAACATGGTGGCAGAAATTCTACTTTGCATAACACAGATGTCCTATTAGGATTCGCTAATTTTAGGCAGGCTCAGCTAAGTCCTAGCTCAGGTGAACAAAGCACGTGATCCTCAGTTATTCAGTTACCGGCATTGCTTTTGGATTTGGACCGATTCTACCCTCCAGGGTATTTCTACATGTAATATTCCTTAAGACACATACTGTACTGTAGCTCATTGGAGCAATGTTTGGGAACATTTCACTGTTGATGTACAGTATTTTGGGGGCACAATAAATTCGTTTTTACACCACATATAAAGCACAATACTGTTAAAGGGATAACACTGTTGCAAAAAATAAAGTACCTGTTTACTTTATAGCCATCATTTGTAAAACAATAACTTATTTCCCAAACCGTTTGCAAGAAAACAGTTAGAAATGATCCATCGTGAGAATTGATGCTGCCGTAGGAAAGAATCGAATGATTCTTCTTGAACACCACAACCGAGCGATTGTTCACTTTCTAAAGTCCTGTACATCATAATGGGTTTCATCCCTTTGTGTGGAAGACTTAGTCAAGTGTTGCTTATCAGAACGCTGGTAACATTGACAGGCCTGTAATTAGTTATAAATTGGTTCTGCGTTAGAAAGGAGACCACACACCCGAAAACATCCACATTTGTGCTCTGAAAAGGGGAACAGTAAAAATGGTTTCCTGGGGGGGAAAAAGGAGGCAAGCTTTCATTTAAACATTTTTGTTCTATAGGAATGTTTGATACTGTACTGTATGTTTTTAGATACAAGGAAATCGTTTTGAATTGTGCTCCAAATACATACCATACATAGTGCAAATATTTTATTAGAAAGTTTGTCAGTGATATATTTTCAAAGTATGATTTTGCATATACTGATTTCAAGACAAAGGTTCTTCCTGATGCATAGTTCAGGTCAGTGTTATAGATTAAGTTGAGCATTACTGTGATCTATTAATTGCTGTTTTGTTTATCCCGTTTCTTAAGGGGGGTCTGTAAAGAAAAATCCTTTTTGTCCTCGGTAACAGAAATTCTCAATTGTTCCAAACTGTTTACATTTTATTACATTTTCTAGAATTCTAATTACTTTGCTGAAACAATTTTTCTTTAATGAAGAAAAAACTATAACACAAATCTCTTAACATCCTTATGTAAACTCTCTCATTTGATATTTGCCTGACTGTACATAAAAGAAACCAAATCCTGAAAAACTCAAAGATACTGCCAGGGCAGAATAAGCTAACTCTGACAGTGCAGTTCTCCACAGAGTTAAGGAGTTCTGCTCAGCTGCAGGTTTTTTTAGCTGTTAGTCCACGTGAAGTAACTAATTCTGAGGAGCTGTCAAAGCCACGAGCTATGATTCAGAGTAGTCACGGACTGATGAGTGCGAGGAAGCAGTACTATCGGGGAAAGAGCAGGGCCTGAAAAAAGTTTGCTGTAAAGATTGCACTTTTATTAATGTTTTATTATTATCCCTACAAAGAGTTCAGTGTGGAAATTGATTAGAAATCCTTCCAATCCAAATGAACAGGTCATCTTCAATGTTTATACTGGTATCATTAACTGTGTTAAGTAGTAAAACCATTCAAAACACTTACCAGAATGTCTAGACAGGCAGCTTTGAGAAGAGTGATTTGGTCAGCGATAGTCAATCCTGTGAAACCAGGCACTCTTTTTGCAAATTCCACTATCTTGATAATGCACTTTGTGGCCAGCTCACTGAATTTGTCCCATAATCCGAGGTCTAGCCGCACACGGTGATCTGCACTGGAATTCTGTAGAGAAAAACGACAGAAAGGGTAAGACAAACACCTTTTCGTCAGTTTCCAACGACACTCTAGTGTGAAAAGGAGTGGAAAACTACATCTTTGATTAAACAATCCATGGAAATTGTTACAGAACTGCATTTCACATTTGTTTTGCTCGATTTTAAAGATGTGAAATTCATTACTTTGGAGAACTTCTAAGAGTTGTACGGGGGTTAATACACCTGTGTCTTCTTATTATATTATATAACTCAGTTAAAATTAACACATCACAGTATGTCAAGGCACAGATTTCTTAGTTTTTCTAGTGTCGGACTTTACTTTGCTGACTCAAGATATGTGGAAGCAATTCAGCAAAATTATTACGCCCCTTACAGAAACACAGTGTCCTAAAGTCTATAACATGCTGAGCTCAACTTTATATCACCTCTCCTTCACAGTCTTTTCAGAACAATTTTTATTTTTTTACAAAAAATTTAGAGTTGCCCGTTATTTGCTAACATCTTTGCTCACAATATTAAACTCCTGTACCTAGGGAGGGAGAATGAGGAGGTGCAGACCGGCTCTACCAATCGGCCATCTCACTGAGGTATTCACTCGGATATGCTACAGTCTCCACAGTCACTTACTGGAGGACTGCAGGAGAGGCACATACTTTATTGACACCACTGCAAACCTACCCCAGGAAGTCACAGGGTTACTGATTCCCTGGGAACCAAGAGAGCCCTGGACAGCTAATGACAACCCTACTCCTGGCGACACTGAGCTAAATGTACACCACTTACCCTTGTGACTCCTGTTCATAGTCAGTTATGCGATTTTTAAAATGTAATAGATATGGAACGTGGCCAACAGAAATCAAAGCAGAAATATCAGAACATAATGTAGAATCTTGCAACCAAGCAGGAAAATGAATAAAGGCGGATACAAATTAGTCCTCCAGTTCTCTTCCTTACGGGTTAATTTGCATAAACAATGTCAAAGTGACAGTTCAAAATTCACGCTGCCTTTTTTTAAAGTCATCGCTGCATAAAAGAAGCATAAATCTGCACCAAGTACAAATGTAGCTGGTTTAAGTTTAAAAGGTTAGCTTCAAAACTAGAAGATTCATGCCACATTTCCTTAAATATATCAATGTAAACTCTGTGATGAAATGTCGTTGCTGACAGGTAAATAGGATAACTTTGATGTCAGCTCATTAAGAAACTGGATGCATTCAAAGAGAGGCTCCCTGTATGAACAGTGATAAAATCATCTCTCACGCTACAAGGAAGCCTGTGATCATCTTCTAAAAGAAGGAACATCCATAAAAAACAGACTCACTTAAGGAGAACAGAAGTGTACATAAACATTCTTTTCATTCGATCAAGGTCTCCTTTTAATCATCTAAACCAGCAGTACCAATATCTAGTTCATTCAACTGGTTTGCTTGAAAATTAAAGTGGAATGCAAAAATGTCTAAACACCTTAGGAGACCAAATCAGAATTAATTAATCAGGAGCAGGAACATGCAAAGAACATGCAAACATGTTCAATTTCACTAAAGTTCCAGTCATCGACCGGAACTTTTTATCCATTTTATCCATTCACGTTACAGTAAAACACAATCCAATGTAGAATTACGACATGCTTTTTTTTTCAGAGGTTTTACTAGGTTGGAGAAAATGATTTGTAACTTCCGACGTGAATAATTCGCTCGTTTTAGCTCGTGGTGTCAGGAGAAATAACTTTTACTCCAGCGCTCATGAGGTCCACAGGGAAGTAATCATTCAACATGCTGGGATGAGGCCCTACACAGATCCCAGGAAAATTCAATCTGCTTGCAAGCATTTATTAAGTTCTCTAACGAAGAGCTTTACAGTCTTAACGGAACCAATCCCTATTTAACTTTATATCAAGGTACAGCTCAACAATGCTGTGAACCTCCTACTATTAATCCATCCAGCATTAGAAAAACATTAGTGTTTCTAGCCATGTTACACAGAAGTAGATGAAAATGACCACTGTTCTCTATCAATACAAGTACAAGCAGTACTATAGACTGCTAAAGTACGTGGGTAAGGTCATGTTTTTGTTTCTCTTCTTGCTCAAGAGCTTTTTAACAAAGGAGATAAAAGTACAGAAGCACCACACATTCCTGTTATCCAGAGCCATTGCTTATTATAACTCAATTAGGGAATGGATAACACAAGTGCCCAGATTAAACACTCCACCTTTGTGGCTCTAAGCCTGGGCTGTGAAAGTGCTCTGCCAATTGTCAGGAAGGCTGTTCCACTCCATGCAATCTAAAGTGTACTTCACCAACTGCCTGGAGGTCTTCAATTAACAACTCAAGACTTCACTTCACAGAGACAACTGCATTTTTTTAAAACAGAGCCATTTGTGAATCAGCAGGACACTGTTTATACGCTGTTATGTAAAAACTTTATAATATATACTTTTACACACACATATGCAAGCAGATCCTGCAAATAACACACTTTAGAATCATTATGTTTTTAGTGGACGTCTCTGCAAAGCCTTTATCAGTTCTGGTTTCTAATACAGTGTGATGGCCAGAATAAACATAAATAAACATAAGCATTACTAATTTCTCCGCAAGACACTTTTGGAGTGTTCCATGGAACTACGTTTTAATTTCTTCCAATGACATGTCTAGAATATATGTGCAAGAACAATTAGGATTTGGGGATCTCTGTAATGCTAAAAGTATACAAAGAGAAGGAAGATTTAAGAAAAAAAACATTTTTACACATTTTAAAACATTGGTTTTAACATTTAACATTTAATGTTAGTTTTAGAACAGTTTAAATAGCCCATATGCAATGCCTCATTTAATTTCCTCTGGGATGCACAAAGTACTTTAATTCACAGCTGTGTCAGATACGCACATGGAGTTGATGTGTATAGCTCCAAGCTAGGTTACACAAGTGTGACTGGCTTCAGATTTTGAATTTATTTTCTGAATTTCTATTGTAGCCTCTTCTAAATCTGTAAGCTTTTCTGAAGAAGGTGGGAGATTAACAATATTTTAAAATGTGTTTTTAGTGGGTGCATACCGGTCTGTTAGAGTGCATCATTTTACATATACTGTATCTACATTTTGCTATTAAGATGTACCAACCTGGTGCTCATCCAGTAAAGATTCTCTCTCTGAGCACGAGCTGAGCTCCATGACTCAGAAACTGGAAGCTCAATCCTGGTTCATTTTACTAACCGACAAGGACTGAGTCTCCCCAAGTGGTGATGCCCACCACTGGATGAGTGCCACCAGGGGTAAGTTCGGGATAAATCGGGGGCTTTACTACTCCCAGTGAAACAGTATTCACTGTGACTTCCCAAGTGCATACAGGCACATAGTGAAGTTCTACAGCTTGTAGTGTGTGAATGGTTCAATGAGTGAGTGTGTTGGAAGAACATAAGAAAGCGTGATTGCTAATCAGTAGCTAATCTGGCCCTTCTTGAAAGAAAACAGGTACAACTGGCTTCAACAACACGGCTGGGTAGCTTGTTCCTCACTCCCACAACTCCTAAGAGTCTGTCTGCTCTTCCTCATTCAGCACATGTGAGTGCAATTCTCTTGCTGTTAGCCAAGAGGAAAAAGACAATTGACAATTCCAAATTGGGTGGGTGTCTAATAAAAACACTTGGAAATTTACATCTAAATTTTAAAAAGAGACGCACTGAGTTAAGTCCCTCTTTTCCTCATGGAAGTCCCCATTATTCAATTCAGTTTATTTGCCATGTGCACAAGCACAATGAAATCCTTATTTCCAATACAGGGGAAACACCAAACTTAAACACAGAACAGCAGCAGCAACAACGACAAAGTAGAATGAAATGCAATTTAAATAAAAGTCGGCACAGGCAATGTGCAAAACAAAAACATCGGTGTGAGTGAGTGTTAGAGGTAGAATTCAATAGTCGGACAGCTTGCAGGAAGAAATTGTCTCTGACTCTGGAGGTTCATGCCTTTATGCTCCTATAATGCTTACCAGAGGGCAGGGGAGAGAAAAGTGAGAAACCAGGATGATTGTTAACCTTATTAATACTCCCCACCTTCCTGAGACAGCGAGTTATGAAAATGTCCACAATAGAAAGGAGCTGTACTCCAGTAATGGACTGGGCTGACCTGAGTACCCCCCATAATGCCTTTCAGTCAGAAATCGAGCTGCTGCCAAACCACACTGTAATATCACACGTGAGCACACTCTCAATAGTACACCTGTAGAATGTAGTAAGGATAGTTGAAGATGGACCAAATGTTTTCAACTGTCTGAGGAAGTTCTTTGTAGCTCCTGTTACATGCTGGGACCATGTTAAATCATTGGTAATGAAGGTACCCAGGAACTTGAAGCTGATAACATCTCTGCAGCCACCCCATTGATGAGAATAGGGGTGTGGTCCCCACCTTGCTCTCTAAAATCGACATTAATGTTTATGTATGTTGAATAAATGTCTCCGTTTTCTTTCTTTTAAATTCCCTAGACCACCTCTTGGCCTCATATTTGTACTCTTGCCCTCATTGTCCCTCATAGGCAAAGAAAAGGGAAACACTGAGATTTTCTTCCTCCTTTTTACTTTAATATAGAATCAACCTCTAAGTTTTCCTATATATTTTATATATTAATAACTTGCTTGATTGGTAAAAAGTGGTACTGAAGGGGCAAGAGTGTCTTCTATTCAGTTATTGTTGGTTGGTTCACACATTTAAGGAAGGAGAAGGAAAATTAACAGTATCAGCTACACAGAGAAAAATAATAAATGAGCACAATGAGTTTAAGAATAGTTCAAACTGTGTCCATGTAGATTTTAAAAGAAAAATCAAAAGGCAGAATCTCTGAAAACCTTTGACTATGGTTCGTGCATCTAACTCACTTTAAGAACCTTGAATCCATGCATTATAGAGAACATAATTTTCTTAAACTACAAAAAAACAGTTTAATGATTGAATTAAATATCACTTGTATTCTAAGTTCTTTGGCTGCAAATAGAATGTTGGATCACAG